CAATCAAACAGTACAGGCATCAAGTTGAATTTTTACTTCAGGTGCCATCCTCTCTGCCTGCCTTGCTCGAGTCAGCTTGCCGGGTTGTTCGGGGTGGGGTGGGGAGGTTTACTCTTCTGTCTCCAGGCCTGCATACCAGCCAGCTCATGGGAAGGCATGGTTTTCCACAGTCTGTGTTTACACTTGTATCAAAACATCATGTCGCTCATCTTAAAAATTATTTTAGTTATTCCTCAATAAAACCAGGAAAAAGGATCTCAAGGAGTCACAGAATATATCCTGAACTAAGTTTCCCCAGATAAGGGCGTGTCCATTTGTCTTAGTTACTTTTTGCTCCTCGCTGAGACAAAATACCTGAAGCCCAAGTTGGAAAAGGAAAGGTTTATTTCTTAGTTTTTGGAGGTTTCAGTCCACACTCAGTTGGCTCCAAGGCAGGCGGGCACGGCTGGGCCGCAGCGGCCACAAACAGCAAAAGGAACCGGCAAAGAGCAAGACACACCTTCTTCCTGCCATTACATCACATCCTGGCTCCACCCCTATGTGGGTGGAGCACTGACATCATCCATCAAAGCACTAGACAATGAACCAATTACAAATGCACAATGCAAACTCATGAGGCCTGGGGGACACAAACATAAACCATGACACCATTCTAAGACACAATGAGATGTGGGAGGAAAATGACTCATTTGCATGTTTGTAATGCAGTAGGTTATTGGTTATTTTATGTACAAATTGAACCGATGCCACTGCACATCCACCTCTCTCACTGACAGCCATGTGCAGTCACTCTCTGGACGGAGAAGGGTGGGGCTGCTGTGGCTTGCCTGCTGGCAGGGTGCCCTGGAGTTTCTTCACCTGCCTGTTTCCCGTGAGCACCTTGTGACTGCACAGCATATGTGGCCACATCAAGCTTCACGGACTGCACCCACATGCCATTAACAGTATATCAGGATATACACCAGCACTCAGAAGACTCATGGACTACACTGTTACATGTTTACTGTGTTAGTTTTAACTAAACACAAATTGAATAACTATTACAAACTGAGTTAGTAGCTGGGTGTGGTGGTACATGCCTGTAATCTCAACAGTTGGCATGCTGAGGCACGAGGATTGCTGTGAGTTCAAAGCCTGCTGGGGTTACATAGTGCCTTTAAGACCAGCCTGAACTACATAGTGAGACCTTGTCTCAAATAACAAAAGAATATAAAACAATGGTCCACCCCAAAACCAAAACAAAACCAAAGGAAAAAACCCTCTAAACAAACAAACACCAAGTTGAATAAGCAGCTTACAAATAACTTTCAAGAGGTTGCATTAGCAGCAATAAAAAGCCCAGACCAACAGAAGGAGATAGGGGTCCACTGCATTGGCGGCTCACTGGGAATTAAACAATGTAACCAGACCTGAGGACTTAATATCCTCTCTCCAGCAGACCTCAGCATCCACACCGCCAACAGTGCTGCAGAAAGAGCACCCGGGGTCATGAGAGACTCCTCTCTGTCCCTCCCAGGGACTGCAGTTCAGTCCCACGGGTCCTGAAAAGACAGGACTCACACACACAGGGAGTTTGGAGCTCATTTGTTTTTTTCTTAGTCTGATTTTCATTTTGTTTGGCTCTTTCCTTTTTAAAATGTTCCCCCTCCATTTACTTTTACCTAATTTATTTATTTTGATATTAGGGATCAAACTCATGACCTCGCACTTACAAGGCAGGCAGGCACTTACACTGCTGAGCTCAGTCTCTGACCTTACCTAATTTATTTATAAATTCCCTAACTGGATTTTTACCTTATTTTATTTTATTTTGGTACCAGAGATCAAATTTACAACCTCGCACTTGCAAGGCAGGTACTTTGGCTGCTGAGCTGAATCTTCAGTCTTTCAGTTGGATTTTTAAACCTCAGGTTTGTGTCTCTCTCCTTTCCATCATACTTTTTTTTTCATTAGTTTTTTTTTTAAGATTTTAAAGAGAATAAAACCAATTAAAATAATACAGAATAAAGCCAATCAAAACGAAACAGTATGATACTGGACTTCACAACAACATAACAGGAAATCAACAATGGTCACCATAATGCCTCTTGTTGTCTTCAATACTGCCCATATCTTCAGATATAGTAAGAATCAAACAAAACAGAACAGAATAGAACCAATGAAAACAAACAATAAAAGCAATATGGGACTTCAAAACAAGGTAATAGTAAGTCCAAAGTGGCCACCATAATATATTTTGCTATCTTTGAAACAGCTGTCCATGCCATTGGACATAATAAAATCAAACAAAACAGAATAAAGCCCAGCCAACCATAACAATGAAAATGACACTGGACCTCAAAACAAGATGATAGGGAATTACCAATGGCTAGCACCCTCAGAAGGAGATCCCCACAGATGCCACACTGTTAGACCTGCAGCCAGTGAAACGCTAAACACTACAAGCATTAAATTGTGTTTTACCTCCACAGCCATCATCACAGCCTGTGCCTCTCCAGATCAGCCCGGTACTGCAGCGGCGGGTGGGGACAGGACGGCTCTGCTTGTCCCCCAGCCCGTGCACTGGAAGGCGCTGGCATCTGGTTCTCCCCACAGTGGCCTGCGCATGGCACCTGCTCACAGGGAGGGCATGCTTCTTGGTGACTTCTTGTTCTCTTCCCCTGCAGCCCACGAATGGCACTGACTCGCGAAGAGGCTGGCGTCTGGTCTCCTCCCAGTGGTCTGCACGTGGCACTGATTCGCGGGAGGGCTTGCTTCCTGCTCTTCTTGTCCTTTCCCCCATCCCTATCTTCCTTTTCAAAAACTGTGTTTCCTTCTTCCCTTTCTCCATTCCCCAGCCTCTCAACTTTTATGTCTCACCACTAACCTTTATTTACTTTTAGCTTTTGGGATTAGGGTATTAGTGATGCTTTCTCTTCTGTTTTTTTTAGGCACCAAGGCTCAAACTCATGACCTCATGCTTGCCAGGCAGGCGCTTGTGCTGCAGAGCTAACCCTTCTGCCCGCTCTCCTCTACTGCTAATGGTCACATGGTTGCTGCTTGTCGGACTTCATTGTGCATTACTAGATGGTTTGCCTTGGTGTCTGTGTTATTACCTTGCTGATTTGTTAAAGGTGGGTGTAGTTATTGCTTTTAACTGTTTTTCACTGTATCAGTATCTGATACCACTGTTGTTAGTTTTCTTATCTCAAGAGTAGTGCTGGGGCTCACACTTCAGAGGGCGGACACTAATGTGCCTCTGAATAAAGTGTAGACATGTGCATTCCAGCAAATGCAGAAGTGTCTGCGGGGATCAGGTATGTAAGGGTCAAGTTGCTGCCCACAGTGGTCTGATGACATCCACTCAGCTCAGGTAGCCTGCAACAAGCACCTCATTCCAATTCTTTTTTTTTGTCTGAGACGGGGTCTCGCTATGCAGCTCAGGCTGGCCTTGAGCTCACTTTGTAGCCCAGGCTGGTCTCGAACTTGCAACAATCCTCCCACCTCAGCCTCCCGAGTGCTGGGAGTACAGGCATGACCCACCATACTCAGCTATTCCAGTTTTTTTCTTTTTGAAATAAGGTCTTGCTGTGTAGTTCAGGGGCCTTACACTCACTTTGTGGCCCAGGCTGGCCTGAAATTCTTGGTGACCCTCTTGCCTCATCCTCCTGAGTGCTGTGATTACAAGTGTGTGCCACAATGCCCAGCGATAACCCTATTCTTTCTACCTATTCAAGAGAAAATTACTAGAAGCATTTTTATAAATTCAGTTTGCCACATCATCTTTTGTGAGTTTCTAGTTACTCCTAACTCATTCTCAACACAAAATCATATTAAGGACAGTAAAATGCTTCAGCTCACTTAATAGGGTAATTTAGTCTCTTGTTCCTTAAATTCAGGCCATACCCAAATTCTGACTATTCAAATCACACAGGACCCAGCTCTAAACTAATCAGCTCATACACAGGCCCATGTGTGCGAAGGTTTCGTCTTTTTTCTTATTTTTTGAGGACCCAGATAGCAAGTCGAGGGCCTTGTGCCTGCTAAGCAGTGTGCTGCCCGAGAGTCATCCCTGCCCCTTCCTTGAGTACAACCGTCTCAAAGTCAATCTATGTACAGCAGAGCTTTGCTTTCACTGAAGTATTTTATATTTCATTCATCAGGTCTTTGGACTGAAACTATAGCACACTAAGTACAACAATTATGCAAAACAATTTAGTATGCAGACTTCAGAAAAAAATTCTAGTCAGGGATGTTAAAATAAAACTCATCTTTCAAAATATGTTCTCACGGGGCTGGGGATTTAGCTCAGTAGCATAAGCACCTGCCTTGCTAGCAGGCGGTCGTGAGTTCGATCCCCGGTATCGATAAAAATGAAAAAGACCAAAAAAACAAAGCAAAACAAAACAAAAAAAAAACCCAAAAAACAAAATATGTTCTCATTTTATTGTTTCCATTCGTTACATAAAAGAATTATCTATGCTAAATTCAGTATTTCTTTAGTCAGTCTGTAACCACAAAGACAGTCTTTCTAGTAGCTTCTATAACCCTAATTCCCATTTACCAGCTAAGGCAACGGCTCCCAAATGTACCTGAGAATTAGTTTGGGGCATTCATTAAACCAGGGTCCCAGATCTTTCCTTAAAGATCAAATTGAGTCATCCTGGAGTGACCTGGAAATTTGTTCATGGACAATGCCAAAATCATTCTCATCCTGGCAAGGCGCACACTGGGCACCCAGGAATACAAGTCAGCCTACGGAAAACAGGAAACCTGATTTTTGGGAAAAATACAGCTACAGTTCCTTAAAATGAGTGCCGGGAAGTGTCCATACAAATACATGCAGAAAAATATCTGGGCTTTTCTTGCTCTCAGTGTGTATCTGTGATACATCATGACCTATACTGATTCTCACTTCTAAAACGGCTGACATGGCGGGCAGAAACAATCCTTTAGAAGTTCCTTTCTGAGACAGTATCATGGAGAGTGTGCGAACGGGCAAGCAAGTTTTGTACTCAAAATGTTTATCCACCAAATTTATTTGTGGACATTCAGAATACCACATTAGGACAGAATAAAAAGAAAGCACCAAAAATTGCTACACGTTAATACCTGAGCAAAGACTGAAGGCAAATACCCATCTATTAAACCCATACCATAATGCTGGAACTCAGGTAAAATCAGTCACATCATTCACAACACCGCCAAGTACAGTAAGTAGCACTTTTTCTGAGTTACAAGCAACTAAATGTAACAATGTTAATACATAATACCAAAACCACAGACAGAATTACATATAAATATTTTTAGCACACCACACACTGTACAAAGTCCTGGAAAAGATCATGCCTGTTCAAATGGAAAGATCTGGAAGGTGACAATCATTTTTCAGTACACACGACAGGACAAGTCCTTTGTACTAAGTATTGTCATGATGCACTGTACCTTCTGGATAAGAACAAAATTAACTTGCAATAAATAATACTAACCATCAATGTAAGTTTGTACTCTACAAGTTTTAAACTACAATATTAAAAAGAGACACAGGTTGAAAGCCAGTTTTTGTTATATACCCTTGTGCAAAGCACTTTCTTGTTAAAATGATCAGGTTTTAAGAAAAGACATGTTATCTTTCCACTTATTTTTAGAGGAAGTTTTTATTTTCTGCCTTGGGATGGGGAAAAGAAGTAAAACACAAGAAATGTGTTGAGTTTATGTTTGTAACTGAACTTCAAAATTAACTTCAAAAACACAGAAATTTGGCAACTTTTAGCAGAGATCATCAACTGTCCTGTAAATGAAATAATTTGGACTTTAAATTGTATCCATTTATCTTAAATAAGCACAGTATAAATGCAAGCCTACATTTTAAAAACAAGTTATTTTGTATTTATACAATTTTTTAAAAATCTGAGTTTAATTATTCAAAATCATTATTGGGTAAATTAAGCTTATTTGATACATACAAATAAAAGCCTCACAATCTGAGGAAAAATGAGCGTAAGTCTTAGTAAAGAATTCACATCTGTGCTCATTAGTAAGATAAAAACGTCCTATTCTGAAGGTGAGTTTCCATGTACAATAAGTTTAGAAGTACTATGACCTCCTAAAATAATTTTCTCCCCCAAACTATAGCCAAATTTAGTTCTTTCCCTTTGTGTAGCTGATTATTTATTTTTTTCTTACTCAAAACAACACTAGGAATTAAAGGAGGCTTCTGCAAATACTAAGTACTAAATACTGAGTATTGGTCAGCTTTGAAGTTTCTATTTCAACAACCTCAAAGGAAAGGATCTGGGATCAGTATGAGGCTGCCCATAATAAAATATACCCTTATAAAGTTGAGGGACATTCCCTTACCATTTTAAGGCACAGTCTGTTTTATTCCAAATGACTAAGCTCAAGGTCACAGTGATAACAGATACTCAATTTTGGTCTAGTTTCTCATGGGTACACTGCTACACGTCGTAAGATTAAGAAACTGTAATACAGTCACTTCAAAATAATATATTTAAGTCACTTTTCCATTATAAATATAAACATACATTATAATTTCTTAATTTATATGCACTAAAAATCAGAGCCTCCTCCATCCCCACAGTACAGGAGGGCAGGGTTAATTCTATGAGTATTCAACAAATACCTACTTGCCTGTGTGGGAAGTATGATTATGTTAAACTACAGGTATCTTCTATTTGGATAAACTCATTCCAAATGACAGTGTATACGGGATTCATGTCTTACACATCTTTCCACTAATAATCACCCACAGTCCACACTGGATAATTAAACTGGGACTAAATGAAAGCCAGAGACTTCAGGAGTCAGCTCTGTGCTACCTCTCCACTTCCAGGGCTACATATGCAAATGCTATTAACACTACTGTGTGGAGAAACAGCAGGTGACATGAAATGATGAAGCAAACCATCAAATGGCAGATGGGAGTTTCTTAGACTTTCTATGGGGAGAAATGAAAGGGTCTCAAGCAAATAAATAGCAGTGTTGGGGTCTATGGTATTTGTACTTTCCTCTCACTAGCCGAATGCAGTATAAATCCTCACCCTTTAGCATTAGTCCTTGCAAGTTTTGTAACGTTTTTGCCTACCGGATGAATTTCCTGACGCTCCCACCGTGCCCTGTTGGGTTCTCCCGGGCAGCCCCGCTCTGCACGATGTGTAACTACACCTCGGCAATGAAGGGCGGGCTCCCCAGTGAAGCCTCACTCCCTAAAGGAGGCACCTGTTCCGGGAAGGGGGCTGCACCACACACGGTGTTTCATGCCACAGAATGATTCCGGGCAGAATCATTCCGAACGAACACTTCGCCTCACTGCTGAAAGACCGTTACCACATGAACTGACTTTTATCCAATAAAATCAGAAATCATCCAAGGGATGGACAAAATGGAACAAACTACGCTATAACTCTGAATATTTTCAAAGAAAAATTAGAGTATGGAATATGATTTTTATGATATACATATTTATTATACGTTGTAGATGAAAAATATGGAAAAGATTTTTTTGCTTTAATCTCAATATACTAAGAAAAGTTCATTGGCACAAATATTCAGAGGTATTTTACAGTTTCATTTAGCTTTGGTGGTGAAGTACGTTTTGCTAACTGTATGAACACAGTCAGTCATATAGTTTCTACTGCAGAGCTTTATGCTAAAAAGAATTTAAATTTGTCCCTTTTTTTCCTAAAAAAAGGATGAAAAAGTTCAGTATGAAATAGAACAAGTGCAACATGAAATATAAAATAGGCCTGTCTTTTAAGCTTTTTGAACAGTTAATAGCTCTGTGCTTTGACTATAAACTCTCTTCTGGTAACTTTTCTATATAAACACTAAAAATCAAAATACTATTAAAAATAGTATTATAATAGTTACAAAAATGGCTACTGCTAGGCTTTCCAAACTAAGACTGGAATTCAAATATGCAAATTTACACAACTCACCAAAGCACACCAACAGTTTTTCACAAGTGTCTGAAGTTACAAGGTACAGAATAATTACAGGTTGATTCTGACTCATACATATCAAGTCCTATACAAAGTTATCAAATTAAACGATGTCATGATATTTAAAAATACTTTTAAAGACACTTTTGGCAGCATAACCAATGCCAAACACTTTGAGGAAGTACTATACTACTTGATTTAAAAATGATAAGCCACACACAATTTAATCAAGATGTAGTGAAGAGTAACACCTGACTTCTAAAGGAAACATGTTAGATGCACTGTCACATTTATATCACTGATGAAACGCTTGTCTGTTCTGCTCCCAACTCTGTTCTCAGAATTACCTCCCTAACGTAAAATTTAGTCTTCTCCATGCATAATATATCTTATTTTTAAAATGTGAATTCCTGAGCATTCAAAGAACACATACTTAGGATTTGGATTTTCTTTCCCATTAGCCTGGTGAAAAGTAGATTATGAGCTTTTCTATTTCCTTAGGTTATTAAACAAATACTTACTGTGGAAGAAAGCATGAATAATGTGAATAAATAAAAGTTTACTTCATAATTTGAAACATTCTTTGTTCAAAAACGCTGGGATAAACTGGGCATGGTGGTGCATGTCTGCAATCCCAGCACTCTGGACGATTATGAATTTAAACCAGCCTGGGCTACACAGTGAGTTCAAGGCCAGCCTGAACCATTCCCACTATTTTAGTGGGAACTAGTTTGCCAGGTCGACTGCTTTAAAAGGTGGCTGTGCTACTGAGTGAGAAATTCATAGTGAGATTCTGTCTAAAAAAACAAAACAAACACAAACAACTGAAAAAGCAAAAAGTTCCCAATCATTTCAGAGTTCTGTACAGGTTCCTCTAAACTGGATTTATTTGTCAGGGAAGACCCTGGCAGGGTCTGACATCTACAGCAGGCAGTCTTCTGTTGCTGCCATTATTCTGGCTAGTGCCATTCTCTCCAAATTGATTTTCCCATAATGAACTTCCCTGAGCATCCTGTCTCCTATGATACCCAAATGCACGAGCCCTACCCACTGGGAACACGAAGAAGGTCAATGCCAAACAACCAGCAGACGCCTAGTTGCAGAAAGTCCCCACACAGCTCTGAACTTTCCCAAATGACTTTGACGACCAGCTGCTAACGTCTCCAGTGCCGCGTGATAAAGTTCTGCACTCACCCACCCAGCGCAAGACCACATCGCGCCAGCTCAGACCCAGTGCCAAGACGAGGACTAGGTGGACGGGCACACCTGCTCTGTGGGTACTGCCTGCCAATGCACTCTTACCACTGTGAAGACAACACTCAATTAGAACCCATTTTATAATGCGTAAACAAAATATTCTGTTGGTATAGACATGGCTTGAAGACTTGGTGGTAAGTACACTCACACAGAAATATTTTAGTGGGAATTAGTATGACAGGTTGGCTCCTTTAAAAGGCAGCTGTGCTACTGAGTAAGAAATTCATAAGCAGTACTGACCGAACAAGGAGACCTTCTATCTCCTAAACAGAATGATTATGGCTGTCAACTGAAGATCAAATTAATATTCTAAAATTCTTTCAAAGTTTTCCCATACCTGGACCCAAGTTCAAATTCAGAAAGAGTTAAATGACATGTTTAACCAAGGCTTGGGATACACTTAGTATTAGTGGCAAGACAAAGGTGTTTTCAAGGGCTAGAGATTTAGCTCCGTGGCTCAAAATGCTTCCCTGGTAAACACGAGGTCATGAGTTTGATCCCTAGTGGAAAAAAAAAGTAAAAGCTACTTTGTATGTTGCCAGACACAGGCAATGTGTCCCCCTCTAAACACACACCCAGGGTGCCGTGCGGCGAGTGCGAGCGCTCATCAGCACCTTCCTCTCGGGTTCAGAACACAAGCACGGGAGCCTGTTCCTTCCGTCTCTGTCTTAGTTGACACGGCCTGGCGAGTCTGTCTCCTCTACTATAGGCCACCACTGTCTTTAGGGTCTCAGGAGCAACAATGTGCACCCCGAGTGATAAACACAGAGCTGGAACACAGCTGTATACACTTGGAAGCCTCTCTGACTAACGCCAAACAGCACAGGCTGAGGAGAAACTGGGGGGGAAGAAGGTGGGCTGCTGCAGGCAGAAGACCAGGAGGAACTCGAGGTGGCGAGTGCCGAGACGCGTGGGACCCAGAGGCTCCAGGACGGGCACACAGGCCTCGGGGGCTGTTTGTATCACTGAGGGCTCTAAAAGCTCACCATCACTAGCCCCAACCCCGAAAGGACACCAGTTCACAGGTGCCATGCAGGACATTCCGGGAGGAGTTTTGCATGCTGAAAGTCTCCCCATGTAAAACAAGAGCTCTAGGAGCCTGGAACTCCGCAGCCCAAATTCGCTCTCTGGAGGCAAAGAGAACTTGCATTCTCCTGCCCTGCTCGTACCCTTCAGACTGTTTCCTAGCTAAGCGGGAACTGAAATCTGAAGTTACACAGATATGCTACGCCTTCATCTGGCCAACAGTTACGCTGGGCTGGGCATGGAAGGCCCACTGTTCAATCTTGTGGCGACCCTCCCCAGCGTCTTCAGGCACGCTGTTACACGAGTGCTGCACTTCCTGGTACCCCAACACTATAAATTCATACATCCAACTTGGTGCCATCCTTGGCACCAAGCAATGGCGCTAACCTAGGGTTTTTGCCAATTACTAACTTTTAGTTAACAGTTTAGCCTCAGCAATCATGACAATGAACTAAATCACCAAAATGAACTATTCAAATGTCCAATAACATCCATGACAAGATTCTTTAAATTAGCAGACATGATTCATACTTGACAATAACATGAAAATGTCCTTATTCTGATTCTGAACCACGTTTCCACTCATTGATCTTACTCTGCTTACCAGAAACAGCTCGCCATGGAGGCAAAGCTCTTTCACATCTGAAGCAGACAGATGCTTGCCCTGACCCCAGAGCTGCCGGAAGGGACCAAGGGTCTCTGTGGCCCTGAGTTCTGAGAAGCCAAACAGTTGGGAGCTTCATCACTCCTGGAAAACTTATTTCAATGTTTCACAACATTGAACTACAGCAAATAGCAAACAAGCCGCTTTTCAGAAGGTGCTGAAATAGCTGGATGCCGCCGGCCGGCCGGCAGGGCGCAGACCTGGGCTGGGCACAGCAGTCATCAGGCACACGTGGCTGCGAGCCCTCGCCAGGCCCCAGGCCGGCCGCACTGCTTGTGGCCTCCTTCCCTCAGGTGGTAGGAGCCTAACTTTCGATTCCTTAGGCTGTGAAAATAGCTGTCTCCAAAGGGCTCTGCTGTCGGGGTGAGTGCTCTGTGTCCATGTGACCCTGGCCCTCAGCCAGCGATGGCCGTGGTCATCCCTTCCGGCCCTCTCACATCCAGTTGCACAAGGCGTGGAGTAGAAGAGGAATGAAGGCAAATCCTGGGACCCTGTATAAGTGGGCTGACCCAAAAGCAACCACAGCGACAGCCAGAGGCAGAGCAAACCGGGAGGCGGTCTTCAGCAGCTTACTGGAGAGAGACAGAAAGAACATGGCAGGTAAATCACACGGGAGCTAAAACAGAGTAAGTCAGTGTGTGCACAGGAAGATGAATGTGATTCTAAATGAAATTTTTTATATAACAGAACTATTTATTCCAATTTGTTTTTGAAAGATCAATAAACTATGCTTTGACTAAAAAAATCAAAAACAAAAAACCAGAAAAGCGTATCTATTCATAAAATAGCCAATTTGATTCATTCTTTCAAGCTTTACCAATGGAAAAAAATGGAATTTTTATTGTGTAATTCTACCTCTAAAAATTTATCCTAACAAAAATATTCATGTTCACTAAGCTAGTTATAGAAATCTTCACTTTAATCTTACGTATAATAACGGCAACACAATTATTTATATTTTGGTACCAGGGCTCAAACTCAGGACCCTGCACTTGCCAGGCAGGTGCTTATACCGCTGAGTTAAACCCCAGCCCCAACACAATCTTTTTAAAAGACAATAAACTCTCATCTTTTTACTGGGAAAAAGAGAAATTGAGGACAAGAAGTGTTCCCAAGTCTGCCTTGAGAACAGAGTTATTACAAAGCAAAGACTGAAACCCCAGGTCTGCTCCATCCTAGAATACTGGTCAGTGTCCCCCAGAGCCAGGTGAAGGGCTCCCAGAGCAAATGACCAGAGGAAAGCCACGTCTTACAATGGAGACTCTGGAACACACGTCACAGAGACTGACGGGATAATGAACCATCACATACCCAGGGTTCAGTTTCAACAACTCAATCCTAGCCAATCTTACTTTACCTGTATATCTATTTTTACTCCTGCAGGTTTTTATTTTTTTATTTTTTGAGGCAGGATCTCACTAAGTAATTCAGACTAGCTTGAACTCACTATGTGGTCCGGGCTGGCCTGGAACTGATGGCTAGCCTCCTGACTCAGCCTCCTGACTTCTGGAACTATAGGTCTGTGCCACTATGCCTGGCTTCCTGGAGTTTTTGAAAGTAAATCTTACATATAATCATTCTTAAAGGAAAGAAACCCACATTATTACATCCTAACATGTAAAACCTATGGTTATAAAAACAAGTATAACATAATCACATATAAACTGTATCTTCATATTAAATCATATCATTGTTAGGCTTTACCTTCAGGAGTACTCAAATAACACAAATAAAGATATAAGTAAACACCAGAAATAAAATGCAGGGTGATGCAGGCCATGAACAAAAAGGTTAAACCATCATACCTTGATTTTATTGAAACAGTGTAAGTATTTCCAAGAACTGCCATGGTTGGAATAAGGATGAATGCCAAAGGTTTACATGGATCAGGATGAAGTTTGAAATAATACCTATCATAAGAGAAAAAACAAAACATAATCAACAAAGCGAAATTGGCTGTTTTGGATCAGCTGGATGTCTATCACTTTTGAGAACCCTAAGTCATTTGTCCAACAATCAATTCTGTGACCAAAGGTCTGGATCTTGACCAAAACGAGGAAAGGATATTAATGTCTGGTAAACTTGTATTTCATTTATTAAACTTATTTTGCTTGAACTGACTTAAAATGCTTTCAATATTTAGATAATCTGAAATCTTTGTATCTTTTTTAATGAGTAGGGACCTGACTACTGCTTAGATGAGGAGACCTTTTATTTAGTAGTGTACCAAAAATAAAAATACAGATCATTCTTTTGGGTTAACCTCTGGGGCAGTTGGTAGAGGAGAAACGTGAATGTATAGGAAATACGTCTCGGCTAACATGGAGCTTTCTATTCCTGAGCGACTTCCTCGGGGCGTTAGATCTAGTTAAGTCTCTCCCAGTGGACTGCTGCATAACCCTGTAGGTCACTCCACGAACACAACCCACCGCAGGTTCTTCAGCCAGTAGACTAAGGAGGGCATGCTGAGCAGGACCACCCAGCCCAGCAGGTTGAGCACCACGCTGTGCATGCGGAGGCTGTCTTCCGCTTCCGCCCCCGACAGCCACAGGGGCCGCGCTGCGGGGTCTTTATAGTGCCCCGGCTTTTTTTCACTTCTAGCGAGTTTGGGATTCTATAAAAACCATAAAGCAAAACCATCAAATACTAGGAGACCAAAAAGTAAGCGTTAAGTATTATTTGTCAGCTAAATGAGCACATTTGCCATTACCAAACTGAGATCAAATACTGAAAGGATCTTGTCTGTATCCTTTAAAGCAGTTACAAAACTTTATCTTTTGACTTCTTATTTTTGCTGCTGAGACTACATCCTCTAAGTAATTGCTCAAAATAAAATTTAAAAGACAATAATTTGTAATGATAACAAAAAGATAGGTGTTGAGAGACTCCATTAAATTCTGAATGACTTAAGTCTATTTTAATAGGCTTAATTACACTTTCTTAAAGTTACTTAAGTTCATAGTACCTGTACACACTAAAAATCTTAACCTTTCTAAAAAAAAAATCAACTCTCATATTTTCTCATGTTCTTTCACATTAAAGTTATTTAAAGTTTTATAAATAAAACTTACCACAGCCTGGCTACTTTTAAAATTTGTTAGGCTTGCCTGAAGATGAACAATCTAAGAAAAAGAAAAGACTTCAATTTTACTTATGCTTTGAAACAAAATATATAGGCCTTTTTATTAAAACTGAGAGAAAATGTAATCCGAAATCGAAAATCTAAGCAACCAAGATTCATTTAAACATTTAAAAATACTCTTTTGGGAACGATCAAGTAACACAGACTTACTATCATGCATTTAAAAACCTAAATACTAAAGACACAGAAAACAAAATACTCCAACACCTCACTACAGCAACTTTACAGGTCTTGTGGCCACACATTTGATGACATGTAACATTATAAAGGAAACAGATCTATGTATAGTGAAATATTTACAAGAGCTTGAGACTATGTAAATTTAACTTAATAAGCTTCCTTAAATTAAGTATCTGAGAAAGGGTCAGGTGTATGACTTATTTGATCAGTAACATGACTAATAAAAACTAAAAATATTCCATTTATAAGTTGAGGTAGCTCTGAATAGTTTTGTTTTAAGGTGTACATAAATTTCCTTTGAAAAGCTGAAAATAATCTCTATGTGCATGTGTTGCTGTCAAAAGCAGGGGCAAAGCCACCCTTGTTTAAACAGGAAAGCCGAACGCCTGCCCACAGGGACTGCATGGAGCCTGCGGCTGGGTAGTGGCCTGGGTTTTCCTGCAAAGCAGCTGGCCTCACTGAGAGCATCTCTCACTGCATTGAAGTCAGCAGCCTCATATTTACATCATCGTCTTCTGATTCCTCACAACACGTAATGTTAAAAACGCTAATATTTACAAGTTAAGATACAACGCAAACAGGTAATTTTACCCTTGTTTTAAAAAATCCCAATTTGAATCTCTAATTTCAGTTCTGTTAACTGTATATAATTTAAATGCCTAAGTAGCTTAAAAACCTTTTATTACAGTAAGCATTGTTCCTACAGGGCAGAGGTGGTCTGTCATAGCGCCTGGCACACTGTGCCCTGCTCTTTGACGTCACTCCCTACCTTGAACAGGTAGCAGAAATAGGAGAGCAGGATAGCGAGTGCGCCACAGGTAGTCCAGCTAACGACCAGCAGAGCAACTGTCAGGAAGGGCAAATCTAGTGACAGGATCTTGACATCTTTAGGAAGTTCAGAGGGTCTGGGAAAAAAGAATACAGCTGTAAAAAACACAGTTAATAGATATATTTACACAGCCCATGAGAGACAACGATGATATATAAGCTGAGCATCTCTAAAGCCAAAAATCCAAAACTGAAAATATTCCAGAATTCATAGCTTTTAAAGTACCAGCATAATGCCACAAGTGGAAAATTGTGTGCCCAACCTCATGTGTGGGTCACAATCAAAATGCAGATGCTCTAAAAATGCTGGAAGGAACTATTCAGGAACATGAAGGAAGCACAAGGAACCAAGGGAACTCTGTGCGTGGACTGGTTCTCATCCAGCACACGTACTTTAACAGGCTCATGTATATGTACACGCACATACTTCAGATTCTAAAAGCACCGAAGTTTCAAAAGCACCCGTGGTCCCAAGCTTTTCCGATCAGAGCTACTGAGTCTGAAGTACTCTGCCAGTCTCTCTTGTGTACAGTAAACCCGAAGGTAAACAGTGAGGTATTTTTCAGGGCAAGCAGTCATGTGTATTTGATTTTAAGGACTCTAATACACCGTAAGAGCTCTTGCTCTGTTTAGATATACTATGGCTGATATTGGCAGTAGGAATAAAGTTGTTGCCAAAGGTCACTATTAATCTTAGACTCTGTGCCACACATTTTCAGTCTTGACAGGAAGAATTTTCTTTTTGTTGTCGTTTAGGCTAGCAGTTCAGGCTAGCCTTGAACACATGGCAATTCTCCTGCCTCAGCCTTCCAAATGCTGGGATTGCAGGTATGCACCCCAACACCCAGCCAGAATTTTCCATCTTTTAGAGCATTGAGACCACTCAGATGCTTGACAGGGCTATTGCTCAAAACCTGTCAGAAAGGCCTCAGAGGGCGGAGAAGAAGCCTCAAGGTTCCCCTCCGTGAAATAAATCACACAGCACAGAGGAGGCACGGAGGAGGCCATGAAGCTGCAGTGGTGCTCTGCCGGAGAGGCTGGCCAGAAGCTTGAGACACAGTGTCTCTGGGTGTGTGGTGCGAGCCGAGGGGACGCTCTCGGGCTGTCCCACCTCTCAGCTCATTAGGTGCTGCCTATGTGGACCACGGCCTTCCGCCCTTAGCCTTCACCAGAGAAGTCAGTCCGCGAAACAAGCCCTCCTGAGACAAATTTACAACCACGGCACGCATCAAGCTTTTTTGATGAAATCTGGGATACGAGGGTCAAAACCAAGGCAGCATTTAACTTCAATAAATGATCAGTCTTGATAAAGATACAACCACTGGTTTTGCCAGTTGTACACCCTTGGGAAACAGGTTAGTGAAAACAAGAATGTTTTCTTATTTAAGAGCCACAAGAAAGCTTTCTGTCATCCACTTTACCTTTTCAAAGCCAGCCACAAGGAAGAAAGGAGTCTCACAGATGCGCAGGAGAGCAGGCCGCTCCAGTAGGCGGTGCACGTTCCAAACAGAAAGAGAATCAAGGACACAAGGGGGAAACACATGCTCTGACTCGTTAGAACGATGGCATCTAATTCCGGTAACAACAGTAAGTCCCACAGTTCCTTAAACCATTTATACCTGTGGGCAAAAGAAAGCAAAATGAAAGCAAACAAAACCAGCAAGAACAAAGCCCAACAACTGACACCCACAGACTCCACATCTGAGGCCTCTGACCATTTACTACAGTCCCTACAGTCCCGTGACATTTAACTTCTCATTTACACTGGAAAACACATCTTAAACAAAACAATTCATTGCTCCTCCAAGTAAGCCTCCTGATCTCCAACTATTTAAATACTAAGTCTCCCACAGCCTTGTGGTTCTCTGTTGTCTCTGTATGAAGTAATGATGTTTTCTGGGTTAGAAAGCCAACAGCTACTTGTTATGAAAGATAAGAGATTTAAGTAATGGTCCTTAAAGAAAAACACAAAGCTCACTAAATTAACAATGGAATGTGGGCTGGGGTAGAGAGGTTTCCAGTGCACTTTCTGGGGAGCAGGAGAAAGTGCCCCGAGGCCCCGTCCCCCAGCTCTACTAACAGGGTCTGTCTGTCTTTCTACGGGTGCTCCTGGATCATGTGCAAACACTACAGTGCTGCTACATTCACAGCCCAGGGTCTGACTGATGCACACGTTCAATCATTGTCTTGAAATGACTGAAACAAATGCTGATTTATTTTTATTGTCTTTTCCTAAAAAATTCCATTTAATGAAAAAGTCAATTGCCAAATTTAGATGAAAATGGAATCAAACAATGTTTCATATATAAAACAAAATTAAAATCATCATCAGATAATAAAACAAAACTTACCCCAATAAAAACTTAATCATAATTACAAAAGGGTCAACTTTGTATGGCTTGGCTTCTTTATCCAATATGGCAGCATATTCTAAACAATAACCTGGTAATTAAAAAAAATTACATGCAACAGAGAATTCACAGTAATTAAGCATGAGCTGTATCTTGCGTCGTCTACAAGAGCAACATGTTTTATGTCAGAGACAGCAAAGGGTCCTTACTAGTAACACAGGCTCTTTTTCACAGATTACAAGTTACTGTGAGGGCCGGGGATATAGCTCAGCGGCACAGCACCTGCCTGGAAAGCATGAGGTTGTGACTTTGATTCCTAGTACCACCCCTCAAAGTAAAATTACTGTGAATTCAATGGTTCTCCCAGAAGAGTGTACATTCAGCAACAAACTCAGCAGGTTGAAGCTAGGATTTTACCACGTGTTTCACAAATTTCCTCAGGTAACTTAAAAACAGTTTTAGTTGAGATAAAATTTTCATGCCATTCAATTCATTTATTTTAAGCCTACAATTCTATAGTTTGTCTTCTTTAGCCACATGTAAGAGACAAAATACTTAGGAAGCACCGAGCCGCTGAAACCAGGAGGGAGGACTGAAGAGGAGGGGGAAAGGAGGCAGGAAAAGGGAGAAAGGGAAGCAAGGAGTAAGAGAGAAGATGAAGGGAAGGAACAAACCAGACGACAAGGGAGGAAATGAGCAGGGTGAGGCGCCTGCTAACACAGAGGTTTGCAACATGGAAACAGCCCTGCGGCGGCAGCAGCAGGCAGCGGCCGGTTGTAGGAAGAGAATCTGAACGCTGTCAGGCCTATAGCTCTATTCACCAGTTTATAAAAAGCAGAAACCAGAAGATGTTTGCTGAGGGCAGCGTAAGGAATCAAGAATGATCAAGACATGTCACATGCATGTAATTAATTCTTCCAAGCAAACATCACTATTATGTATTGCAAACATGTACTACTTCATATATAAAAAAAGATAATGTCTAATAATACCATGGAGGTATAATCAGCAAATCTAGATTGTGCAATACGATCACACTGAACAGCTATGTCCGATCAATCTATAAGGGAGGAAAGGAGATGGGAGGACGCAAACCACAGCTTAAGAAACTTAATGATTAAACTTAGGACAAGCTGCAATGCGCAGATCTTGTTTGGAAACTTTTAAACACTTGAATCATGTCATAGTATTGGGGGTAATTAATTTTTAAATGTGTATTGTATTTGTCCTTTTAAGACATAAACACTGAAAATAGTGATTCCTATATGTATTTTTAAAATTAACAATTTGTTTAGACTAAAAATAAAGTTTTTTCCATTAAGAAGTGACACCCAATCCAAGTGAGTTCAAAGGTAGGAGAAGGCTGGTAGTTTGCAGGTCTCAGGCCCACACACTGGAACTCTCTGGACTAACTGCCGAAAATTAACTTGGGATCGGTGGTGGACAGGAGAAAGGTAAACACATCTGAAAGACTGGTCACAAAATCCCATGCTGCTCTGGAGTCCTCATCAACTGTGGGCAGCTACTCCTATTTCTCTCTTACGGGTCTCAGTAACTGAATTAAATGCACATGAGGAACCAAGAGTTGTTCTATTTAACTAACGGTTATTAGTATTTGTAACAAAAATAACTTTAAAAGCTTGCTTACCTGTTGAGAAAAGGGAGGACAGCTGTCCGCCGTAGGCAAGGAGGACGCTGGACGTAACGTAGGCAGGCAGCGCGCCGCCATGAAACCTCACTACCTGGGGAGCAAGCCAACAACGGAAACCTTTGGATATTCGTGTAAAGAAGACAAATGTGTTTTACATAAAATAAGATTTATTCTTCACACTTTTTTTTTGGTCTTTTTAAGACAGGGTCTCGCTGTGCAGTTCAGGCTGGCCTTGAGCTCCCTTTTAGCCCAGGCTGGTCTCAAACTTGGAACAATCCTCCGGCCTCAGCCTCCTGAGTGCTGGGATTATAGGTGTGAGCCACCAGGCCTGGCGCTTCACACTTTTCCTGACACGGCTACATATTTCCACTAATGAGTACCAAAAACTCAAAGTAAAATAAATACTTTTATAGCCTGATAGAAACACATCTAAGTTTTTCATCAAAGGCTTAACTGAGTAGCATATGCTAGAAAACTGTTCTCCAGAGTATGTTCGCTGACTACGCCCCAGGTTCCAGGCACGATACTATACATCGAATGTGCAGCATCTCATGCTTCCCTCTAAAACCCCGAGGCAGTTCTTACGCCCACTTACAAGTCCGAAGGCCAGGCACCCTGAACAATTACAAACAAGTGAAACAGACAAGGTACCTCCCCGTCTCACCACGTGCTTTTCCTAAAAAGGGGAGACCAGTGCTGATAGGTGGTTATGAAGATCAAACAAGGTCGTGGTAAAGCATCTAAAATATTAACTCTTACACGACAAGCTACCAGAAGACATTTGCTGTGGCCATGAGCCTTCACGTCCTCCACTTCTTGGAAACGCAATTAAATTGAACCTGAGTGCATCATCTCATTACAGAATTGTCCTATCAATCGATCCACTTCGTATTAACGTGTGCACAATGAAACAAAGTGCTAAGCTCCTTTCTTGACGTTGTTAACGAAGCATTTACGTGAAAGCTTGCTGCCCATCCTATGGAATCTCCTAGAGCACACACAGACTCTGCTGTCAATCTGGTGAGATGTCACAAGCTAACCCAAAATGCGGTGCAGGATTATAGGAACTCTCTCCCCGGAACCCGGGTTGAAAAAGATCAGGAAAAACCCTTCTAGTCTACACTCCTAATTTATAGTGCGTAAACTCCAGGTAGGAAGAGCACAAGGGAAAATGTCAATTTCTCCCTGTTACATACTAACCGGTACTCACTGCCTGCTCAGGACGTACTGGGAAACCCACAGCCCCTTCCCTCAGTCACCGAGAGGGGAGAGGACAGGTAGGCAGCCTGCAGGCTGGGGCCAGACTCCCTTCGGCCTCTCCCTACCTCTGTGCCTAGTCGGTAAAACCGAGGTAAACCGCATTACGGGGTGTGAGGCCTCCACGTGGGAAGCACCTGAAATCCTCACCAGCATAGGGCCACCTGACCGAGGGTGTCAGTTGTTACCACCCACCAACATTCTGCTGTCTTCAGACTCTGGAGAGGTCCGCACCGAGCATCCTGATGAGAGGATTTCTTTTTATGGCAAAGGGCACCATGGTTTCAGGCGCTGTACTGGGACATGGATGCAGCTGGGTCTATTTGGTTCGGGGAACTCGGCAGCTGCGAGCTGGCTGCCAAGGGCACAGTCAGACCAGAAACACCGCCTGCCAGCCCCACCCTACTGAAACTGAGCTAGAGCCCAGCACTGGAAAATTCCAAAATTTTACCTAAAAGTTCAGTTTGGTCTCTTAAAATCTAAAAAGATCAAGCAACATCAGGCTTCCTTCCTGAAGGAATGATTTACACCAGGCTTCCTTCCTGAAATGACTGATTTACAACAAGTTATGGAATCTTTAGGAGAAAGCAACTTTCAGTTTACTTTTCATCCTCCTTCATAATTAATTTTATGAAAAGAATCTAGTTAAAAGTTACAAGCGCTCAGCGGTTTCCTTTTTATCTGTCTTTTTCAGTTTTCTGTGACCATACCAACAACATTCAAAGTCGTTTTCCTAAAAACTGGTAAGATAGTTGATGCTATTTGAATTCATTCTCATGCCATCCACAAACTAAGTAAGAAGGAAGATTGTATCTTTCAAAAATTTTAGGACTTTATTATAAAGATTTTTGTTTAACATTTTAAAAAGCACTCACTCCTCACCTTCTAAGACCTGCACATCTTTACTCTTTAGAAACATTTCTACATCTAAACAATATTAGTCTGCCAAGGGTAGTGGTACAGGTCTGTAATCCCAGCACTGGGGAGGGTGAGGCAGGAGGATCCCTGAAAATTTGAGGCCAGACTGGACTACATAGTAAGTTCAAGGTCAGTGGGAACAACACAGTGAAACCCTGTCTCAAAACAAAACAACCAAACCAAACCAAAACACCCCCAAAGCAGTATTTGTCCATCTTCTTTTGCTGTACAATTATACTTGACTAGAGTATCTCAAGGTAACCTGGCTTTTCTTGTCACTAATCGAGTCATGGGTGGAAGGGGTGAGAGGTAAGAGGGTGCCCCGTCTGCACTCTACCCATGCACAGGAATGTGCCTCCTGGAGGTGCGGAAGATACATCAGCACAAAGTCTTCCTCTCTGTACCAGCTAACTTTTCTTAATACTTAGCCTTTAACTAAAATGATATTTTCTAATTCATGTATACTGACAGTTAATCTTTTCATAATTTGTTATGTTGTTTTTCCTTTCAAAATGGCTACACTTTAACTTAGAATTTTGTCATGTTCACAAACAATCAGAATCTAGTTCTTGTCAGGTAGCTGTAAGGATCAAATGAGATAATGCATATCAAATTTTTTTAAAATTTAAGTTTGTGAGTTTGACTTGTATTACAAGGAAAAAATTCTATGGCTGGATTGCAAACTACTACCAATCAAGTAAAAGCCATGATAAGTATTTTACTGAATTTTAAAATTATATAATCTCCCTTTCTACTCATTATTTAAGTCCACATTACACAATTCTGCATGTTATGACACTGAATAATATCCATAGTTCCACTCTTTGATAAATTATTTTGTAACACCACTCCCAAATGAATTCCCACATATCCCTATTGAAATCTACTTGCACCTTTGCAAACTGAGACGCACACTATAAAAAGCCTGTGGTCTGCCCATGTTTACTGCGCTATGAAGGGCAGTGCGGCATAGTCATGTGAAGGCTTCTGTGGCACCTGCTTAGGCAAACGTTAAACTGCTTGAGAAGCAGGTGTCAGCTCTCGCTTTTAGGGTGTATCGGACGTGAAAGAGCGAGTCCACCACCTTGTGGGCCGAAGATGATTTTCAGATTTCATTAAAGTGGAAGCAGAGTGAGGAGAAGGAGAAAGGTGAGACAGGCAGCTGGCACAGGGCAGCAGCGCAGGCCGGGTGTGGCCCAGTGCTTCACAGACACACAGAGGGGCGGGCCACAGGCCACCTGGCACAGTGGCTCATGGGGCAGTGACGGCAGCAGGGACTCTTACCTGTCCCAGAATCTGTGAGAAGGAGGTCTTCACTGTCACCTGAGTTAAAGCAATTATTAAAAAGAAAGGTTATTTTCCCCGTACTCTGGTTCACATTTTATTAAACTGCACAATTCTGCACATCTCTAAGTATAATTTTTTATAATGACAGACCTGTGGCAGAAGAGATCTTAAAAAATTGTCTTAACTACCATTTAAATTGTATAAATATAGTTTTGCTGTTTAGTATATTTTCCAGTATTCTAAATTTTCAACAATTAGAGGAATGCTATGGTACGTATGGGAACCCTTTAATAGCCTCATTATTTAACCAAGTATATTATTAACAGATCATGGTGGTTAACAGAATTAAGGCCAGCATAACATTTCAAAAAGAAACTCATCCTTAATTATCTCTAACATACACACATCTTTGTTTTTAGTATTAGGAAGTCTAAGAAAAGGTGATAAATCTTTTAAAGGACGTTGTAAAAATGCCAATGCTCTGTCCAAAGACAGGCTTCTTGAAAACATACAATGTTGTTTAAAAAAATTTGAGAACTTTGAGAACATAAAATATTTGGAAGCAAACTGACAACACATTTCTTATTATCATTTTAATATTAGAAGCATGAAGGTACAAATTAAAAACCATTATAATTCTGCAAACCCTTCACTATTGAAGTTAAAAATGTCAAAGCATTCATAAATAGATGAAATGCAAATTTATTCATAATATGGGTCCAATGAAAACTTGAAGAGCAGAATCTATTGACAATACCAATCTTAGTTTACCCTATGAAAGTTAATTCTAATAAAGAATTCAAATATTAAAGTTTGATTTTAAGCAGTTAAGCAGAAATATTTCATACAGACCAAAAGTCTGAGATGTCATTCCCACTGAAATGTACACTTAACCACTTACCTTTGGAATCTTTGGAACCTGGTATGTTCAGTTTGTGAATCCATAAGTATAAAATATGACCCTCAATCTTACATCCCTTCATTTAGGTGAAAGAGATCTTCCTTGATTATAGAACAGTACAATGGGCACTAACCTGCATGTTAATGAGTAACAGCCTTAATGATAAGGAAACAAAACAAGATCCTTGTGCTAACTCAGTGGAGATATAAACCAATAAGTACCTGGGCAATTACTATCAGTAATGTCAGTTAGCTGATTTTATGCAGTTCTTTAATTTATAAAAGTCATGGGGCCGGGCATATAGTTCAGCACCACAGTGCCTGACTAGCAAGCGTGTGGTCCTGAGTTTGATTCCTGGTACCAAAAAAAAAAAAAAAGAGAGAGAGAGAGAAGTGCCTTTGTTCCACTTGGCCATTGTTCTAGCTGGACTTAGGACCCCTTTGGCTCCACATAGCTACAAATCTGCCTTAGTGCCTTTATTCTTGCCATGGGTTCCACTGGAGGTGGTAGACTGAATTATCTTATTGGAATTCTAACTATTTAGACCAAGATGATGGAATGGTAAAGCAGCAGAGAACACTGGAACAGAAGTGGGTCCATTGGTGAAGCGTGAACCAAAGCCTACAGAGAGTGAAGAGAGGAACTCCAACAAAGGAGTACCTGGCAGCACCTTCTTCCTGAGAAGGGACTTACTGCATGAGAGGAGCAGTTTCAACCTGCAGATGCACCATGATGGTGACAATGATGGCCAGTGACCCTGGAGGCCTCTGCAGAGATACATAGCAGGGGAGGGGAGCAGCAGACGTGAATGATGCACTGGCAGGCGCTGTTCGCCCTGGTACTCCATAACAGACTGACTAAGTGGCACAGTGCCGAAGAACCAGGGACTGGGCCAAACAAACAACAGCGTCTCATCTCCAACAGACTGAAGATGTCAGATCTTCCAACAGGCCCAAACCCAAAGACCAGCTAACCTGGAAGATACCTCAGAACCAGTCATCATCTAGGGTTCCTAAATACTACCAATAAAGCAACCCACCATAGGCAAATGATGAGCATCATCCAAGAATTAAACTAAAGAAAAAAAATGAGAAAACACTTCAACAAAATGCAATCCCAGACATCCAGTTCACCAAAGGCAAGTCCAGAGGACAATGAGGTGGGACAATGTGAAAGCCCCCAACCTGGCCTCTCTGAAGTGGTAACAACAAAGTAATTGAATGCAGCTCTGGAAAAAATGAAATCAGAAATAATATCTTAGATGACTACAGACAATGGTATCCAAAATAAAGACCATATTTAATGACACTAGAGCAGATACACACAAATAAATGGAATCCATAAAGCACACTCAAGCAGATATCCAGGAGAATAAAAACTCCACTGAAAGTATTCAAAGCAGATTAGGTCAATGTGAGGACAGGATCTCAGATATTGAAAACAGGTTTGCAGTTAGCGACAAGGAAAAGAAAGATTTCTCAAAACTTGCAAGGGACAATGAGAAATCAATCCAGCAGCTGCTAGATGAGACAAAGAAGCATAATTTAAGATTAATTGGAGTGAATGAAAAAGCAGGAGATACCACAAATGAGATTTTAAAAAATGTTCACAGATATTGTGGTAGAAAACTTTCCTGGTAGAGAAAAGAATTTGACATGCAGATAAATGAGGCATACAGAGCTACAATTAGCCATGATCAAAAACAGTCTACAGCCAGGCATATCATAGTCAAGATTTCAGGAGTTCAGCACAAGAATAGAATCTTAAAGCTGTTAGAAAAAAGCAACAAATCACCTACAAAGGAAAGCCTATCAGAACTATAGCTGACTTCTCAACATAAACTCTCAAATCGAGGAGAGTTTGGAGTATTCTAAAGGAAAACAACTTTCAACCCAAACTGATGTACCCACAAAACTCTTTTCAAAACTGATGGAAAAATAAGATACTTTCATGACAAAAACATCTGAAGAAGTTTATAAACATCAAGCCAGCTCCAAAATGTTCTGAAGGATGTTCTAGAATGAGATAATAAAGACTACAGCTCTGTGAACCCTAGCAGAAGGAATTCATTAGGCAAGGCAAACAATTAGAGGAGAGAGGGAAAAAAAGAGAGCCAACAACAGGAAAATAACATGATAAGGATAACTCAATTACAACTATCAATGTTAATGATCTCAATTCACCAATCAAAAGAGGCAGACAGGTAGAATAGATCAAGAAGCAAGATCCAACAACATGGTACATACAACAAACACATTTAATACCAAAAAAAAATTCATAGACTCAAAGTCAAAGCATGGAAAACAGTATTTCACGTGACAGGAACCCAGAAAAAGCAGGGGTAGCTATTGTATTTATAGACACAGTGAATTTTTTTTTTATTGGTGCCAGGAATCAAACTCAAAGACCTCACAGTTGCCAGGCAAGCACTGCGCTGCTGAGCTATATCCTCAGCCGACAAAGTGAATTTCAAGCCAAGATTAATTAAGAGAGATAAAGAAGATCACTATAGCCTCATAAAAGGAACAATCCAAGAGGAAGAGATAACAATCATAAATATAAATGCAACAAATATAGTGTTTTTCCCTCTCTCCTCTAATTGTTTGCCTTGCTTAATGAATTCCTTCTGCTAGGGTTCACAGAGCTGTAGTCTTTATTATCTCTTTCTAGAGATAATACTTGTTTTATATAGTGCACTCAACTGTATAAAACAAATACTAACGGACATAAAAAATCAAACAAGCACTAATACAACTGTATTTGGAGACCTCAATATCCCACTGTCACAAAAAGATAGATCAATTAAACAAAAAATCAATTATGAACGATTAGAACTGAAGCAAACTTTTGAATAGATTTAGTAAATTTAGACAGAATGTTCCATCCCATAACATCAGAATGCACATTCTTCTCAGTTACATGTGGAATGTTCTCCAAAACAGATCACCTACTAGCTTGTAGAACATGCCTAAGTAAATGCAAAGGAATCTAATTTATCCCATGCATACTATCAGACCACAATGCACTGAAATTGGAAATCCATGGCAAAGGAAACCACAAGCACTTCATAAACAAATGGAAATTAAATAGCACCCTCCTGAACAACCAATGGGTCACAGATGAAATTAAAGAAGAAATTAGATAAAAAAACAATGTATTGGTACTTATAGGATACAATGAAAGAAATCTTACGAGGAAAATTTATAGTAATAAATACCCATATCAGGAAAACAGAGCAAGCACATATAAACAATGTAATGTGAATCTCATATTTCTAGAAAAAGAAGAACAAGCTAAGCCAAAAGTTCATATAAGGGAAGAAATTATAAAGATCAGAGCATAAATTAACACACTGGAGACTAAAAAAACCATACAAAGAATCAATGAACTGAAAAGTTGGTTCTTTGAAAGATTAAATAAAATTGACAAACGCAATCTTATCAAAAAAAGGAAAGAAAATATTCAACTCTATGCAACTAGGAATGAAAAAGAGGAAACCACAAGAGACCCTGCCAAAATCCAGAAAACTCACATTCTTTTTTTTTTTTTTTGTATTTTTACCGGTACCAGGGATCGAACTCTCAACCACAGGCTTGCAAGGTAGGTCCTTATGCCACTGAACTAAATCCCCAGCCCCGAAAACTCACATTCTAATAAGATGGGAAACACAGAAGAAACAGACAGATTTCTAGATACAAATGAAGTACCAAAGCTGAATCTAGAAGATATAAAAATCCTAAATAAACCAACATCAACCAATGAAATCAAAGATGTAATTAAAAACCCATCAATAAAGAAAAGCCCAGGGCCTGACAGATTCATTGCTGAATTCTACAAGAAATTTCGAGAAGACCTAACATCACTACTTCTCAAACTCTTTAATGAAATTGAAAGGGAAACAATACTTCCAAATTCATTCCTAGGGGTAAGCATTACTTTGATACCAAAACTGGAGAAGAACCCAGCTAAGAAAGAGAATTACAGGCCAATTTCACTAATGAACATAGATGCAAAAATCCTCAATAAGGCACTGGCAAGGAGAAGGTAGCAAATTGTCAAAAAGATTATACACCATGCTCAATTGGGACTCATCCCAGGGATGCAAGGATGGTTCAACATAAATCAATAAAAGTAATAAACTATATTAAAAGAGCCAAGGACAAAAATCCTATCATCATCTCAGTTAATGCAGAAAAGGTTTTGACAAAGTCCATCATACATTCAGAAATTCCAGTAACTTTTCCACAGAATTACAAACAGAACCCTCACTCAACATTGACGAGGCCCAGGAAGGGTTTTCTTTCCTTTGTTTTTGTTTTTGTTTTTCCTTTTTGAGACAAGGTCTTACTATGCAGTTCAAATTGGCCTTGAGCTCACTTTGTAGCCCAGGTTGGTTTTGAACTTACAACAATCTTCTTGCCACAGCCTCCTGAGTGCTGGGATTATAGGCATACGCCACCACACCTGGCTAGGAAGGGTTTTCTATAAAATGGATAAAGAAAATGGAGTATTTATATAAAATAGAGTACTACCTTGCCATAAAGGATAAACTTGAGCCATTTGTAGGGAAACAGATGTAGCTTGAGACTGTAATGCCAAGTGAAATAAATCAGACACAAGCTTAAATAACAGTTTCTTTTATATGAGAAATGCAAAATATAAAAAAATGCAAAATAAAAGACAGTAAGAAGCATGATGGATAGATCTTTTACAAAAGGAAAGGGGACCAAACAATAGAGGGAGGGAGCGACAGAGGGGGGAAGAGGAAAAGGGGTTGAAAACAGTGTTAATGATAGACGTCTTCTGCATGAGCAGCAAGCCCTCACGATGACTGTGATCACCATGCACTGCAAACATAGACTAATATATTTTGTTTTAAAAAACAAACAAACAAAAAAAAGGGGGCTGGGGATTTAGCTCAGCGGCAAGCAGCAGTCCTGAGTTTGATCCCTGGTACCGATAAAAACGAAAAAGCCAAAAAAAAAAAAAAAAAAAAGAGGACACTGACCTTTGGCTTCCAAATTTAGATGGGTAATGTATAGTTTCAATGTTTCATTTTCTATTACTTATTAAGATGTATATAATTTTAAGTGATTCAGCTAAGGAAATACTAATTTAATACAAACAGAAAAAATGGAGAATATTTAAAATATTTTAAATGTCTATTTCTGACATGGGCTTTGACATTACCATGTATCTGCAGATAGTAAAAATGCTTCTAATTTATTCCATAAATCTTGCTTGAAGATTATGCAAGCACACAACTTACCTCATACTGACAGTCTGATGATGTGTACATTTTTAATAATGCCACATGGCTGTCACTTTCCGGCTGAGCAATATGAAGTTTCACAGAGATTTCGGTAGAAGATGGAACCCTGGAGAGACAACCTAGGTATCAGTTCTCAAATATAAAACATGAACAGGCCTGGCATAGGCAACACTCAGCATGACTGCAGAGGACCCGCGCAACAGACCCCTTAGTGCGGAGGTGCTTTCCGGTCATTCCTTCTTTAGGGATTGGGAGCTAGGCTAGAGTGGAAAAGTGCTCACATCTCGGCAAGTAAGGTTTGTGTTCTGTGGAATGCAGTTACAACACTACGCGCGCGCGTCACCCTAACTTAGGGGCACAGTGCTGCTGGGCCTGCCTCGGGGCTCCACCCTCTTCTGATGGGCTGTCACTTGATGGTGTTATTGGGAGGGGATGCAGCAGCAGGAGAGACTTGGAGGCTGTAACTAATCCCTGACCTTTCCTTCGGTTCTCTTCCTCTCCCTCTGCTTCCTGGCACTACGAGGTGAGCAACTTTCCTCTGGCAGGCCCTTCCCCTATGACCCTGCCTTGGAGCCAGCAAAGCAGAGAACGAATCCTTTGAAACTGCGAGCTGAAAACATTCTTCCTCTTTTTTTTTTTTTTTGTCTTTTTCATTTTTATCGGTACCAGGGATGGAACTCACGACTGCCTGCTTGCAAGGCAGGCGCTTATGCCGCTGAGCTAAGTTCCCAGCCCCCATCCTTCCTCTTCTACACTGATTTTCTTGGGTGTTTGGTCACAGCGACAAAAAGGTGATTAACATGTAGCCTAAAATCTATTTTACTAAACAATACCACACACACAAAAAATTTTTTGGTCTTTTTGAGACAGGGTCTCCCCATGCAGTTCAGGCTGGTCTACAACTCACTTTGTAGCCCAGGATGGCAATCTTCTTGCCTCAGCCTCCCAAGTGCTGGGATACAGGCATGCACCACCACACCTGACCTCATCAAAATTTAGAATAAGTTTTTAATATACTTACTGTGCAATAGTTAGTGAATCTTCGTAAGACCAGGGGATATGAAGTTTATAGATACTCGTTATTTCTTCTGTGGAAATCAAGGAAAGATGCATTGGTATCCTGTTCCTAAGGTATACATGAGCCGCTAGAGTCCCCAACCATTCCACTGCCCGCTGCATGGACCTCTGTAAGAGCTGCAGCACATGTCAGGAACCGTGCAGCATTTCTAGTATGATTCAATTAGACTTACAGAAGCTGGTAAAAAGCATATGGGCAGTACTAACACACTGGGAAAATAAATCTGAACCACTACTGCATTAACATAGGAAGACACTGAATATTTTTAAGATGTGAGTATTTAAACTGAAGTGTGAGCACACTTAATGTTTTTCAGAAAGTACATTTACCTTTGGCTCCTGAGCACTTGCTTACCACGTTGAGTTTAAAAGCTTGGTATATCTAACAGAGTTTGAACACAAAAACAAAACAAAACAAGCTTATTTGTTTGTTTAACTAAACAATAATATAAAATCAAATCCTTCCTAGGACAGTCAGGATAATTACCTGCCCAAAGTTTAGCAGTTCTATATCGTAGTACAGGCCACTCGTATTCAATAGTACTTTCCTTGAAGACAATCCTGTTGGATTGAAAGCACTGTGTTACTTAGAATGTCAAAGAGTGTTTAATGCATTTGCTTAAATAACATTAAAACAAAGCCATCCGTTCTGATATTAAAAGACAGTTTATAGGTGTGGAAGAGTCAACAACTCTTAAAAATCTGATCTTCTTGCAATCAAGCCTGAACAAAGCACTATTTATAATGACTTAATTACAGCCATGTGGTTTTTTTGTTTGTTCTTGGGTAGCAGGAATCGAACCCAGAACTTTGCGTTTGCCAGGTAGGCTCTGTGCCACTGAACTATATCCCCTGCCCTCCAGCCATGTGACTTCTAATTTAGAACGATAAGCTTTCTTTCTACTTCTTTTTATAAACTTGCTATGTTTAATGATCCTTCTGATTCAGAGCTGCCATTTCTATAATGTTCTAAGTATTTTTGTACTCCAAAAAAAAAAAAAAAGTGTGTGATAAAAACTTTAAAGGAAGTAAGACGTTTTCTAGTTCAAGTAGCAGATTCTTTTTGTGAATGGTATGTATGTAAAATATATGCATTTTTTTTAATGTGAAGGATGGACATAGAAGCCTCAACAAAGTATCACCTAACATCCAAAGCTAGAACTTAGGCAGAAGAATAAATGACAGTATTGGATCATAGCCCAGTAAACAAATATTCCTGAGTCCAAACTAACTTTAAAACTGAATAGCCAGGTATGGTGGTACACATTTGTGATGCCAGTACTCAGGAGGCTGAGGCAGGAAGATGGCCATGACTTTAAGGCCAGCCCGGGCTACATGGTGAGTTCAAGGGCACAGAAGGGCTACATAGCAAGACCTTGTTTAAAAAAAAAAAAAAGAAAAAAAGAATAAAAATATAAATGTGAGAGAAATGGTAACTTTGTATCTCAGGAAGAATTTCAATAATGTGGAATATAAGTAATATTTGCTGAAGACTAGATGAATCAATGAATGCTACAATTAATAAGTTATTTCGATGAAAAATACTGTTTACATACTCTCAAAATCTCTCCCCCAAGATATTTATTAATTATAAAAGAAAAGCAGGAACTTTTCAGTGTGGACGCCAGCAGGTACCGCCTTAACCTAGAGATGAAGGTTAGCACCACTGTGATTACACACATCAATAAACATCACGGGTGCTGGTGTGACCCACTCGGGAGATGCACATCGCCTACATGCTTTTGTTTAAGGCAGAGTCTTGGGCGGGATAGACAGCACCTGCCTGGCAAGTGTGAGGCCGAGTTCGATTCTCAGTATCAACAAAAAAAAAGACAGGATCTCACTTTGTAGTGAATGCTGGCCTTGATCACTATGTAGTCCAGGTGACCTCAAACTCCTGGCCTCCCTCTTGTCCCAGCCTCCCAGGTGCTGGTATTACAGGCACGGACCACACCTGGCTGCCTCCGTAATTTTCTTGCAAAAATGCCTAACTTTGATCTAATCATAAGAAAGCAGACAAAGCCCAACTGAGGAATATTTTACAAAATAACTAACTGTAACTGTCAAAGGTTTCGTAGTTATAAAGACAAGTAAAGACTGAGGAACTGTACGTCACAGGAGACAAAGGAGACATGACAACTCCATGCACTGTGGGAACCAGGGAAGGAAGATGTCAGTGGAAAAACTGATGGAAACCACACCAGACCTGCAGTTCAGTCAACAGCATTACACCAACGCGAAGATCTTTGTTCTAAATTTGTATTATGTTTATGTAAGAGGTCAACAATATGTGTGGATATGTGGGATTTGGAACAACATTTTAATATTTAAATAATATCTTAATTTAAAGTTTCCTAGGAAAGGTAGCAATTTATTTTTTATTTTTTTGTCCTTTTCGTTTTTATCGTACTGGGGATCGAACTCACAACTGCCTGCTTCCAAGGCAGGCGCTTATGCCGCTGAGCTAAATCCCCAGCCCCTTCTTTTTTATTTTTGAGATAGGGTCTCACTATGTAGTTCAGGTTGGCCTTGAATTCACTTATGTACCCAAGGCTGGCCTCAAACTTATGGTGATCCTCTTCCTCAGCTTCTCGAGTACTGGGGTTACTGGCAAGTGCCACAATGCCTGGCTAAGGTAGCAATTTTTAACCTGTAATAAAAACTTCATGGAGGGGCTGGGAGATGCCTTGCATGCACAAGATACTGGTGCATATCTCCAGCACCACAAAAAACAAAAGAACTTCCTGAAAAGTGCCAGCATTAAGTATAAATATTATAGGTCACACACACATACACACAGATTCCCTTCTAATGTCTGTGGCTATGGAACATGTTCTTTTAAAATTAACTTCTGAGATGATGATGCTGGCCCAGTATTTCCTGAGACCCAAGCCCCTAACGCATGTCACACGGCTCCCGAGAACCACACTCACAGTGCTGCAGGTTCAGTTTTGCAAGGCTCTGCTTTATTGCAACTCACTGGTGAAGCAAAGCAGCACAGCCTAGCAGAGCAAACTAGAAAACCCTGGTGCAAGGTAAGACAATAGAAAGGGCGGGGTAGCTCAGTGTAGAGTGCCCCTGGGTTCAAGCCTAAGCGCTAGAAGACAAACTTCCCAAAGACAAAGCACTTACCAAAGGAGAAAAGATGAGTTACAGGAAGCTGTATTGATCTAGTCTCTTTTTTAAAGAATTCACAATCTACCACAAACTGAAATATAAAACATTGATTTGTTAGAAAAACAGAATCAAATTTATAATAAAATATCTTGATATTGAGTAGAAAATAAGTCTACATGCTTAGCTTTGGAAAGTGTATCACTGATCAATTGATCACACTATAACTATGCTAGTGGCCGAACTCCTTAAGGAGAAATGCTATGCTGAGAGAATTTAGTAAGCTTAATTTAAATAAGTTGTCATAACAGATTCACAGCAACATTTCTGGTGATTTTTGGTATTTGCAGGACACTAAAGGAGAGGTCAAAGATTCATGATCCAAGATTACTTAGGGATTTAGATACTCTAGGCTGAAGAGTTCACAGTCAAAAGAATCGCTGTTCATTGGTAGTCATTAAAGGTTGAGGGTGCAACACAGAATAAACCTTTCTGGCTGTTGCGCCCAAAGAGTTCAGAGTACGGAGACAGAGATTGTAATTCAGTGTGATACAGCCCTCAAAAAAGTCAGAAACAGTAGGATGGGATTAAGTAGGCTTATGGGGCAGCTGGGCAAAGGAAGAGACTGGGGCGGGTCTTGAAGAACAAGTCTGCTGGTTAAATGGGGTTAAACCCTCTCTTCCTCCCCAAGCCCAAGGCTCTTAAAATCACCAGTCATCCTGTTTATTCCAAGAGCCCTCACAACCCTTCTGAGGTATCTAGTCTTTCTATTTCTGATCCATCGTACACCATAAATAGCTTAATCTTCCCAGAAGTCATCTCAGATCCATTACCACTGTAGTGAGAAACCTTACAGCTTTCTAGTGACTTTTGAATTCTATGAAATCCTGCATCTTCCGAGAAGGCCTCCACATATGGCCAAGGACTTCTTTTCCCCACTATCATTCTGGCCCTAGTAGCCAACCTTTCAGATCATGTACTTATTCACTGTCATAACAGATTCACAGCAACTTTGCTGGTGATTTTTGGTATTTGCTTGTACGCTAGTGGCCGAACTCCTTAAGGAGAAATGCTATGCTGAGGTACAATATGATTTCATACCAACTTCTCTCACTGTGCCTTGTCTGAAACTGCAGTCCAGTTGACAGTATCTAAAATGTGGCTAGAATAACTAAGGAACTGATTTTTTTTTGTTTGTCTCTCTCAGGGTTTCATTGTATAGTTCAGACTGGCCTTGCACTCACTATGTAGCCCAGGTTGACCCCAAACTCATGGTAACCTTCCTGCCTCAGCCTCCCAAGTGCTAGGATTACACATACACCACCCTACATGGTAGGAACTAAATTTTATACTGTATTTAATTTTGATTAGTTTATATTTAAGTGGTCACATTCCAGTAGTTTTCACTTCGACAGCAAATTCTAGAATGTTCATCCTATCTACGAAAGTCCTACTATCCTGTAAGGACATTTTAAGTGTCACTTTGCTGTAAAGGCATTCTCTCCTCCCTTTATGCTGTTATGTACTTCTACATTCTTTCTCGTATTACATTTACTTGGGTATTCTTCCATTCTTAGCCTTCTCCTACCAAAAAGGGGGACAGGCAGTCGGATGTAAAGGGGGCCTGGGTTCACTGCTTAGCCAAGCGGGAGGTCTCAGGTGCCTCACCAACACCAGGCACTGGTTTGTTTGGTACCAGGAATCAAACTCAGGACCTTGCCCTGGCCAGGCGGGCACTTGTGCCACTGAGCTGTATCCGCAGGCACTGTTGTTGACGAGCCCTCTGTGCGAGAACCCATCAGGAAGTGAACTTTTTGAAACTTCAGCAAGACCAAGCATCCTGAAACACTCTGCAAACAAGCCCAAGCCATTTGTTACCTTGCTCCCGCGAACAGACGGAACGTAGACCACAAGATGAGACAAAGAAGGGTAGTCTTGCAGCCTTAATGTCAGAGACTGGAAAAAAAAGATACAGAGAAGAAGCTGCTTTTATGTTTAGGGTAGATGGAGACTGAAACATGGTAAAAGAAAGGAAGTTACAGGCACTTAGTTCTCATTTTGTTACCTAAAAAACATTTCAGAGAACACATGCAGAGCACACAAACTAGGTTTCTCAGCACCCAAAATTTTACACTTGATTTGTTTACTTCATAAAATACCCATATTTACATTTGTAGACAATCTTACAGGAAATAAAATTCCCAATAATTATACCAAACATGGACCTCCCCAAATAGCCCTTGGTACATGCTCACGTGAGAGAAGTGCCGTCTGGCACAGCACTGAACTGCAGTGCCTTCCGGGCTTGGCACCTTTGGTTTGTCACTGGGCTCTGTGGCACAGACAGCATCCCAGCGCCACCTCCAGCTTACTGTAGCAGTGTGACAGCACCCCACAGGCGGCCAGTTAATTCAGAAACCTTCTCCCTCAGCACTGGGCACCAAGCCCACGCCCTCGTACACACTGGGCAGGGGCTCTAGCAACAAGCACACCCCACTATTAAATACTAACTTTACTATGCTAAAGAAAACACGCAGGCCTCTCCGTGAGCCAGGCTCTGCCCCGGGGATGGGAGGAGACTCAGTAAGAAGATGAGCCAGGGCACCTCCCAGCTGGTATGCAGTCTGGAAACCAGAAGAGCACCCTCCAAGCCCGTAAGCACCCGGCTGATTCAGAGGGCTCGGGGTGAGATGACAGCACCCGAGGAGGAAGAAGAGCTCGATGCCTGTGCTGTCCGAGTGACTCTGCAGGCCCGGGCTGGCGGTCTGGGCATCCACCTGGAGGACGGCAGTGTGCACTGTGGCAACTGTGGGGGATTCCTCCTGTCTTGTTTTAGAAATCCAACGCTTTGTTCTGTTTTACTGTTTTGTTTTATCCCTGTGTCTGGTAACCTGAGCAACTATTCTGATAACAATGCACAGTATAACAACCACTGTTAAATTCCTATCATTATCTAGGTTTGGAGGCAGAGGCAGGAGGATTGTTGTGAGTTCGAGACCAGCCTGGGCTACCAAGTAAGCTCAAGGCTAGCTTGAACTGCATAATGAGATCCTGTCTCAAAAAAACAAAAACAACAACAACAACAAAAAATTCCTAGCATCTTTTTTTTTTCTAGCATCTTGTTTTGAAAGCATAGTTATTGTTTTGTAGAAGTTGTTTTGCTTTTGCTGTTGTTTTTTTAGGTTTGCTTCTTGATTTCTTGTTTTTTTTTTCTCTTTAAAATAAAATTTAAAAAAAAAAACACAAAACATGCAAAATGTAGGTCAACAATCTCAAGTGTATGAAATTCCCAAGAGCATGTTCTAAAATGTCTATGGGCTCAAGTATTTTTTTCACTTGAATATTAAGGTTCTGAATCTACATTTATTTACCTTAATTGTTGGCAGCAGTTCAGCTTTCCATGACAGATCAACCCCTTGTCGGCTTTAAAATAAATACAAAATGTAATTAAAGAACAAATATACTGAAGTATGTAAATTACAAATAAGCTTCAGAGGAAGAAGAGAACATCCAAGACCTGGAAGAGAGTTACAACAAATGAACCCATCTAGTCTAACGTCTAATCCAGGACTCTCTGTCCACATAGTTCCTTTGGCAACAAAAATAAAAATGGGTTTTCCTAACTGCAAACTACTCTCAATGATTATAAAAATTATTAGCATATTCATTTCTCTCACTTTTCATTTTAAAAAAACACTGTAACAATGTTACAACCAATGATTGCAAGAATAGGACTTCTGATATCATTAGAGAGCAGAAGGGACTTGGTCTGAAAGACTTACCACATAGAAGTACTGTTTATACAGCCAAAAATCCAACTGTTTGTATCCTGTTGATTAACACGCAAAACAAACACACTAAGTACTGTAGCAAATAGACAGAAAACACACTGAATATTGTACAAAACATTGTTCTAAAACTCTTCAGTGCCTTCTTGTTACAGGAGGAGCAGGGGCAAGGGAAACAAAGCGGCACGTGTGATTTGAGAAGCACATGCAAGACGCTCTCTCTGAAGTCACACGGTCAAGGACAAGGGACCAAGTCCAAGGCCAAGGTGTCCCACCCAGAGCAGTGGCAGGAGACAGTGACCTGACCGGCATCTTTACTACGGCATATCCCCCAATAAGCATTCCCACTGAGCCAAAACTTTCAAAGACTTTGGTAATACCCACACTTTTAATGAGACAGCTATGCGGAAAAGCTATAAAAACAGAAATAAAAACTAGAGACAGAATTTCACATCCACAAAAAATCCAGAGCAGAGCAATTAAAAATAACTAAAAATAAATAAACTTATTAAAAATAAGCTGAGTCAGGCTTTTTACTTTATCATTTGAGTCCCCATCTGATTACAAGTAGATAATATCTGTGCGTTCAGGAACTCATTCAGAGGGAAGCTAGCTAATCCCTCATCAGTGCAGGGTGGGATGCTCAGAGAGGGCTGGGATACCTTCACCCATCTGCATTCAGTTTTAGGGGCGTAAAACCAAGCTCTTCGTTCTAAACATTAAGGGAACAGGAGCAGTGCTCCAGGAGCTGATGCAATGTCTGACTGCTGAAGTTCTTTCGCAGTGTAGGAGGATGAGAAGCACTGCCAGAGAGGTACATAATTTGTCCTTCGGGTTATAGATAGGACAATGAATAAATGAATCTGTCCAGTCAACTAATGTCTATGCATCCAGCCCAGGGCCAAGGAATTAAGTTAAGCCCTTGGGGAAAATGGTAAGTCAGGAAGACATGGTCTCTAGCCTCATTGACATTAAATAAAATTTTAAGATTTTTTTTAAACAATAACAAAAGAAAGTGACAGCACACAATGAGGTATTTGTTTTCCAAACAATATAAGCAAAATACTGTGTGACCCCTGTATCCTTACCTGTCCTGCTGCCATCAGTAATGTGATATTATAAAAGCAAGACAACAGAACAGATTACACACCCCGGATGAGGACCATGAGCAGTCTCTGAAGACTCAACTCACTTTTCTAATGAGTTTTTGCATCTACTAATGAAGCCCATCCTCAGAGATGGCTCTCTTTATAAAAACCATCAATGTCCCACAAACTCACTTCGGGGTATCAGAAATCCTCACTTGTCCATAGTGAGCTGAATACATAACGTACTGTTTGTTCTAAACTACTCTAACACACAGGCGAACCATTTCAAATCATCTAGAAAACATTCAACTCAATACCTGTACTGAAACTCTTAGAAGTACTCAAGAAATTACTAATTCCTAAAGTAGATAGAAAAGAAAATGCTGATGACAAATGCTATTACAATTCTCAAGAAGTTCTGACTATAGTAAGAATAACGTTTCCAATGGCTGCCAAAATAATTACATAAAAGACTGCCTGGGGACTTTATAATGGTAGATCACAATGACACCCGAGTCCATTGATAAGCCATCATGTATCAGAAGTGTGACAGCTGGGTATTATATACCTCCTGACATGGTGCAGTAGGAGATGCACAGCTCTGCTCATGATACATTCTTACCACAAAAATTAGCTGAATCTAATCAGGAGCCTAGATCTAACTGCTAGTTCACAGAAGATAACAGGGAATAGCTATTATACCCCCAAAATGCAATGAGATAAATTCAAGTTGTAGCAAACTCTGTGGAAGATACAATCCTCCTTCCTGAACCAATGGTATGAAGGGAAATGGGACAGGGTCAGTTACAGAAGAGATTTTAGATTCACAAACTAAGGACAGTACACACACTTTGAATCTTCACTCAAATAATTTAAACTTGAAATTTAAGTGAGCTAGCCAGGAGTGGTGGTGCACACCTGTAACCCCAGCACTCGGGAGACTGAGACAGATCACTGTGAATTCGAGACCAGCCTGGGCTACAAAGTGAGCGCAAGACCAGCCTGAACTGCACAGCGAGACCCTGTCCTTGGGGGGCGGGGTGCACAGGGATTCAAGCGAGCTGAGGAAAACTGAACATGGGCCGGCTAGCAGAAGAAAGCAGTTAATATTAATTTGGTTGGATAAAATACTGATATTGTATGTAATACGTAAAACCCTTATTTGATAGAAAAACACTGAACTATTTATGAAAGAGATAAAATAACTAGAATTTAAAAATGCTTCAGTTCAAACATGTGGAAAGCAGTACTATAAGAATGACCGAATGGAGACAAGCTTACCTAGACTTATTATTTAAAATAGCAACAGAATTTTAGAATTAAAGGAGTTTTGAACTCAATTCTTTCATCCTGAACACAGTGAAAACAAGGCAGAAAGACAGGACAAACTCGAGGCCAAAGATGCAAGGAAGTAAAACGTCATCTCAAACCACTGCTCCAAACAAGTGCTTTCCAACCAATCAGATTTAATGGTAACAGTTCAATATCTAAATGTACTAGATTATTACTTGAATCTAAAAAATGAAAAATAATCTTTCAAAATTACATAAAATATACCAATTATCTTACCAGCATGGTGCTCTGACAATAGGCATGAGTATAGATTTTTCTATGATTTGCAAGAGGAAATGTAAAATATATCTTATCTGATTCCTATAAAAAGAAAAAAACATTCAATATAGCTATAATGAGAATGGGCAATTTCACCATAAAAACACAGATAAAGCAAATAAACAATTCCTTTATCATTCTTGGTGTTGTCAAGAACCAACTTTCTAGGAGTAAGAGCACAAGACAAGAAGCTAAGACAGAATATAAAGTCTATAGTTCTGAATTTTTCCTATGAGTATCAGTACGAATGGGTTTTTTTCCATGTGATTTCTGGCCCTTCAGTTGTGATAAAAAGCATAGAAATGCCAACCCAGTAACCTTAGCACTGGTAGTGCCAGATCATGATCCTGAGATCCATTTCCCAAAATAAAGAAACAGCTGGTAGCCCCAGCACCAGCTATTTGGGAGGTCGAGGCAGGAGGATCACTGTGAGTTCAAGGCTAGCCTGGACTACATAGCAATACCCTATTACAAAAAAAAAAAAAAAAAAAAAGAAAAGAAATAGCTGGTTCAGGCTGCGGGCCAGGAGCTATGTAAAATGAGCTGAACACTGGGCAGTGGGCAAGCATTAAAGAACTGTACCAGAAAGAGTAAGGAGCCAGTTACAGCGGCTTCTCCTCGTCAAGTGGAAAACAACTTCAGTTTCAGTGGAATGAGACACAAATATACTTAAACCCATGAATTGACAATCATACTGAAGAGGGGGGGTCTTATGGTCCCTGGTGGAGGACACCAACGGACCAGCTCACTATGCTGAAAACCAAGACCCACAGATTCATGCAGCTGTCACTGTTTTCCTTTAAGAGTTTTCCCACTTTTGAGAAACTTGGTAGATGTGGCAAAGCTCTTCTACATAGTAGCCCAGGGAATAAATCAAATATCATCCCAAACGATTTAGAAACTCCAGGGTTCCTCATCAACATCTATCAGTATCACAAGGGTCTAGCAAAAGTAAAACAAAGGAAAAGCCTGAATCTTATCAAGCATCTAGATCCAACCTGCTAACACGGAGTAAAAGTTGGTGAAGGAGAAGCTCAATGACCACTGTAATTCAGTCAGCAAAACCAAGCCTGGGAAACCATCGCACAGGCACAAGACCTGCTCTTGTCACCAAGTCAGTGTCAAGGAAAAGCAACAGTGGAGAAGGTAGTAAAGATCAAGGAGGGCTAGGAGACATAACCAGTGACCATGTGCAGGCCTTGTTTAGATCTTGACTTACACATACGAGCTGCAAAACACAGGGGAAAATTTATGATGCAGCTGGAAAACTGGATACTGACTAGATATTTAGGAATTACTAAGTGGTGGGAAAATAGTATACGGTTATCCCTTTATGAAGAGCCTTTATCTTTTACACATAAATATTAAAATATTTCTGAAAAAGAATCCTTTGGAGGAATACTTACATTGTAAGCCACATAGGTCCATCTGGACACTTTTACTGGAACCCACATAGATGTCCCTTGAAGCGAAGGAAATTCATTTACTTGCCTTTTTAATATTAAATCATTTCTTTTTTGAATCCTGGTGAAATACGTTTTGATCCGAATGGAGAAGTGGTTTCTGAACACTGACTACCTTCAGAGAAATCCAGGAACACGTCCCTCCTAGGCTCGCCAGCACCTGGCACTCACAACACACACGGAAGTGCTACACTGTGGGGTGTCTTTAAGAACCATCGATAGGTGGAAGTAAGCATTTATTTCACAAACATAGCATTTCAATAAGCAAAGTGTAACCAGCATTACATTTACCAGCAAGAGATATGCCGGTAATCCAAAGTCTCAAGAATGAGTAACTTGAGTAACTGAAAGGTATCAAAACCACTATGGCTATTATGTGCCTGCCAGGAGACCGGGTGTCTAACACTATAAACATTTATGGGACCAGGGTGCAGTTTAGTGGTGGGGTGCTTGCCTAGCATGTGCAAGACCTGATTTCAGTCCCCAGCACTGCAAACAAACAAACAAACACACCTTCTTTGTCATGTTATTTTCAGCACAAAACTTTTGTGAGCATCTACAACTTGCTTTTCTACTTTTTAAATTCCAAACCAAAAGTCTCACCAGCACCATCATAGGGAAATTAATGTTATGTCAGGGTCATAATACTTATGGTGTCACAGTTTCAAAGACTTGGTCTGCTAATCACAATTTAAAAACAATAATGAAAAGCTCCACTTAGACATGTCATTATCACCAACCTGTTAAGTCAGAAATTATTGCTGGATTTTCCTCAAAATGTTTTGCTGGATGTCTTATGAAGTGATGATTCAAAACTGACAATTTCTTCTTGGGATTTTGAGTTATCTATAAATAACAGTGATATACTCTGTATCATTTCATAACAGAATGATTCAATGAAACACTTTCAAGTCATGTCAGCAGGCAGTATCTATTTCTCTAAACCAGGCACTGTGAAAAGCTCTTAACTGATAATTTATTAACCACCACAGACTTTAAAAAGATAAACTTTTAATTTGTATTTTAAAGATGAAGAAACTAAAACATAGGAAAATTAATGAACTTATCTAAAAACCACTCAACAGATACTAAGCATCTGTACAGGACTAGTACCCAGGCATTACACCTCCACAGTATATATTTTCATTCGCATCAGTATCTCTCAGGTAAGTTAACAGAACATTAGAAGGATGTAGAGAATCAGAAAAGAACTATCCAGTGCTTCCAGTACAGTAGCTTCCACACTCAGAGCAGTGTCAGGCCCAGACAGTGACCAGTCGCCAGGGAAAAATACAAACTGCCCGCTGTCCTTTCCTTTATGCTTACATACCAGTATTAGTGGCTTTTCTCACCTCATGATGTACTGGAAAAGTATGGATTATTAAATTTAGTTTCAAGTACAATTTTTAAAAGTGTTTAAACACTTCTGTTCTTCACTGATTGGAATGTTTTTCTTTAGTCTACCTTATGTAAGTTTGTATACAACCTGGTCTTGCTATTTTAATTGATTCTATGACTACAGTATACCCAGTTCATTCTCTCAAAGACAAAACATTTGTTACAGTTAAATTGTGCATTAAAATATTAGTACCCAAGAAACATCTGAGTTGGATAATTCCCAGTCCAGTAAATACAGTAATTTAAGGTGAAATCTGGCTTAGTTTGGCACCACACAGAAAGAGAAAGGATGTTCACAAGAACCCTAAGTCTAGGATCCTAGCAGTATTATTCAGCTTTCTGATGAGTAAAGGGAAAATGCAGACACCCTTCCTGCCTCTCAAGAGAGTACATCACAGGAAAGGTTCTAGGATGTAATGATGAGGAAAGCCTCACACAGACCTGCTCAGAGAGCCACCCACACTGGTCTCCCCGAGAACTGGAGTCCTCTCCAATAAGGCTCCAAAAATACCCGGCTGTAATACTGTGCCATCATGAAAAAAATCAACTAAAACACACAAATGACTTCCTCAAAGGGAAGAGCCACAGTTCGCAAAACGTATTTCCAGGGAACGCTGACATATTGCAAGATGATCCAAGGCACAGGTTGTTTAGTAGGAATAACAGATACGCTTCCAACTCGCAGGACGGAAATGGAACAAAGCTATCTGAATTTTATGGAAATCTTTGGGGTCTTCCCTGTCATCTGCTAGAAGACAAGAAAGGGATGAAGGGGTAACGCAGTGCTCTGCAGAGGACGCTGTGATCTCCACAGAACACTGCTAACAGAACCCAGGGAGAGCACACTGCATGGCAGACAAGCACACAATTTAGGTCTTGATGAGCGTGGGCTACTCAATAAATGCACATATTTTGATTTTCTCAGAAAGGTAAAGGCACTTCTAAAAACATGGTCAAAAATATCTAGTAAAACAGATCATGTTTACAATACTAGGAAAAAGATAATGAAAAATAGCTTCAAATGGTAATTAAGTAAAAAAAAGTTGGATATATATCAAACTTTTAAACAGTGAAGAGACAACTGAGGAAACTTTAAAACTCTCATTACGTTTTATGAGTCATTAGCACTAACCACAGTGTTATAAAAATATATATTTTCATCCTGGAACTAATTAAAATTGACGGAAGGTACAGGCTTCTATTTTCATCAAAGAAAAAGCACGCATTAAATCTATCACTGCTACAATGAAAGCTTTCATTGTGATGCAATAGTTTTTAGTTCACAAACACGTACTTGTTTAGTATCAGCATCAATAAGATCGAAGAACGCTCGGACTGTAGTCAGCTGCAACTGCTTACACCTAAGAATAAAGCAAGTGTTACACAGGAAACTTCCTTAAAACACGCAAGTTTCTATAGTAACGGAATATGTGAGTTTCCTTTATGCTATAAACAGAAATTATTTAAATGAGAAGTTGTCCTCATGAAGCATGCGTCTTACGGTCAAACCCTATGAAAGTAAAGGACGTGTCCCAGGGTCACACAGTTCTTCCGAATCTCCCCACCCACAGCTCCTAGCCACACACCACGCCTGTCCACCTTCCCAGGTGTGCACTGTAGGCTCCCGTGGGCTCTGCAGCCTGCACAGCCACAGGAAGGACACAAGAGAACTTGGGCCGAAACATGCAGAGACAGATGCTAGGTCTGCCTCTTAAAAAATTCCAGTTATTTTCATAGTAAGTTTATTGGACCATTTGGATGTAAGTAACGACCACAGTGCTCCTAGGGAACTTGTGCCTGTCATGATGTGCTTGCTCCCATTTTTTCTTGTTCCCCTCCCCTCCCTTCAACCCTTCTTCCCCTCATTTACAAAAGTTTTGTTTCCACTGTATCCTCTTCTCATTGTTTTCCCTTCCTACCTTTCCCCCTCTACCCTCTCTAGTTTCCTTGAACAATTTCTCCTGTTTCACAATTTCTATTGTACATTTTGGTTCTTATGTGGACTTTCAGTTTCTCACAACAGAGAGACAATGGATATTTACACGTGTCTGATTTATTTCACTTAAGAGTATGGTCTGTGTTTCTTTTTCTTTTTGGTCTTGTTGGCACTGGGAATTGAACTCATGACCTCAAGCTTGTGGGGCAGGCACTGTGCTGCTGAGCTACATCCTCAACCCTAAATGGGTGCATGATTTTACATCATTTAGCCTCAAGTGTCTCCAGTTTGTCCTTGTGGCCGAGTAGTTCTCCGCGCTACCTTCTTTATCCACGCATGGGTTGATGGGCATTTGGGCTGTTTCCAAGATTTAGTTATTACAAATGGTGCTGCTGCTGCTGCTACTATAAACATGGGTGTGTGTATGTCACACCCACGCGTTGCTTTTAATTCTTTTGGGAAGATACCCAGAAGGAAAATAGCTGGCTCAAATGGGATTTCTAGTCCTAGGTTTTTGAGGAATCTCCACACTGATTTCCAGAGTGCTTGCACAGTCTGCACTCCCACCATCAGTGAAGAAGGGTTCCTTTTTCCCTACAGCCTGGCCAGCATTTGCTATTGGCTGATTTCTTGATAACAGCCATTCCTTCTGGTGTGAGATGGAATCTCAGTGTCCTTTTAATTTGCATTCCTTGAATTACCAGTGATGTTGAGCATTTTTTCCATATATTTATTTGCCATTTCTACTTTTTCATCTGAGAAGTACACAGGTCTTTAATTCAGAGGTCTGAGTTTTTTCAGTTCTTTATATGTTCTAGACATTAGCCTTTTGTCTAAGGAACAGTTCTGCCTTTCTTGAACCATATTTAACTTCTTACTTAAAAAAATTTGTATTAAAAATAAATTCGATTCCTGGGTGGTGGTGTACTTCTCCCTAGGACAATCACACTTATATTAACTAACTCTGAGTGTGGTGCCTGGCCAGGGCTCGGAGAGTCCCACCACAGGTGCATTTGATTCCGCTAACTAGGATGACCTCTAAGATGCTGACAGCTGAAGCTAGCTTCATTTGAAACAGATGTTACTGATTCTTTGCGATATGGTATAGATTGTCAAAAAAAGTTTTTAAAGAACCAAGCTTAAGGGCTGGGGATTTAGCTCAGCGGCATAAGTGCCTGCTTTGCAAGCGCATGGTCATGAGTTCGATTCCCGGTACCGATTTAAAAAAAAAAAAAAAAAAAAAAGAACCAAGCTTAAAAGGCTGAGCCCCTAAATAAGTCTTTCACACACAGACTTACTGATTCATGAACAAAGTACTAAGAAAGCTAACAAACCAACCAAATACAGTGATGAGAAAATAGGGGCCTGAGAAATCACCAGGAGAAGCTACATGATCTTACCACACAATGGAGAGGTGGTCCGTTGAGACCCACGTCTTAGGCACCGCTGAGCTCTACAAGGAAAGAACGAAAAAATCAAACTTAATAAAAGCATATTTGTTTTTCTCTGAAAGGTCTGAAATTCCTTTAAGCTAACGTTTAGAAACAGATAATATTGCTGTCACTATGATATTCTTGTAGATATTTTAAAATGATACGCTCTTTTAAAAGGTAATCCAGATTTTAAGGTATCCTTGTTAAAACAACATAAGTCTCTAAAATCATTACTGGCCAGCCAACCTTAAACTACCCTTTAAAAATTACTAGAACACCTAGGGATTCCTTACTGGAGTTTTAAATTCAATGCTAACTTCTCGTATTTCAGGCGGCATGGAGGTGGACACTCCGGGTTCTTAGAGATGATTTCAGTGACAGTGTAAGGAAAGCTGGTCAAACCGAGTCAAGAACCAAGGTCAGAGTGCTAAGATCTAACTTAGAAATCAATGTCCTATAGATTTCCTTATTTATGAATAAAGAGCTACGGGAGCTAACACAGTGCTGAAACAGCTGTCTAAGTCTGAATTATTCTAGTACCTGGGTGAGTTTAAGATTCTTTAAAAAAAAAAATCATAGTTTAGGCAATCAGTTAAATATTTCAGTAATTTTGGTTTTGACTAAATTACTCTGATAGAATCTGTATTCTGACTTCTGAAAGTTTCTGGCAATTTTAATATTTTTTGAAGTTAAAATTTATCTGGTCACAATCCCATAACTATCCAATCAGGTTCTCATTATTAGGGTACAGGTTCTACTTATTTTGCAAAATTTCTCTAGATGGTGAGGCTGCAGAAGGGCAAAAGGCTCCTGAAAATGTGGGACTGGCAGAAAGAAGGCTCCTCAGCGGAAGACGCCGAGGCCCTCTCCCACCAAGTCACAGCCCCACCGCGACTACACCGCATGCGGGAAAGGGTGCGGCACATGCACGGAACCTCCCTGCTCACAGCAGCTCCTCCAGCATGGGGGACTCAGTGAGCTGCCCTCTGGGGACTGTCCAACAAGAGACTGAGAACACAGATGCAAAGACATTTACAGAGGCAGGAAACACCTCTTTAATAAACGAAGCCACATAGCTAAAACAAAGTAGGCGTGTGTAACTTCTAAGGGTTCGTTTCCTGCTTGTACCCGTAAACAATGAGCTTGGGGTGCGTGTTGGGAAGAGGAATGGCACACTCGTTGCATTTATAAGTACTGATATATTTGGGAATTATTCTTATTGAAACATTAGGCAAGCAGAACTCACTGGGGTTCTAGGATTGTATTAGATGTTTAAGAGACAGCACTGACCACTATCAAGAATGTAAAACTGATGTCCTTTCCAGAGTTTGAACAGGAAAGGCAGCCAGCATGGTAGCACATGCCTGTAAACCCCAGCTCTTGGGAGGCTGAGTCAGCAGGAGACTGAGGCCAGCCTGGGCTACATAGTGAGTTTATAGCCAGGCAGAATTATATGGCTAAAAAGGAAAAGAAAAGAATAGAAACGAAAGACACAAAGAAAGAGAGAAAGAAGACAGGCAAGGCAGGTAAAAAGGTGGCTTTCCTGATGGTGTGATGAAAGCTGATGGCACTATGGCAGCCAGGCTGTCTGCTTGCACAGTGGGATGCTCTCCCTCTCCTTGGTTCCGCTGTTTACCATGCTGAATGCTGTGCCCTGGGTGCAAGTCGTTCCAGCACTGCAGTCTCCCTACTAGTATGGACATGTTCTCATCCCGAATGACTTCCTAGTCTCAATGTGTAAATGTCACTGAATTGTTCTTGCTTGTGAAAAGTATTCGAATATTACTATTTCCTAACTTGAAAAAAAGTGAACATATATGCAGATATGTGAAAGGTTATATTACTGGACTTAGGTCTAAATATTGTATAAATAGGTTATATGATAGCTATTTTTGAGAAAAATTGTAAGTAAAATATTTCTGCCAAAGACACAGAAGTACAAGTTGCCTTAAAATAGTGGATACTCAAGTGATCAAAGTATTCAAAACATAAGTCTTAGGACGCAGTATGAACAAAGGCCACGCACAGGAATTAAGTTGTATTGGTATTAATATGACCAAGCTGCTTATGTTTACTGAAGAGCTGACATTTAGCTTTTTAAGGACTTTAAGCAAGTAACTGCTCAAAACACACAATGCCAAATGACACTGAGTTGCACTCCGAAAAATGAGGTTTGAGAGATTTAACAATTTCATACCAAAGAGGTCCTGGGCACATCTCAGTTCTCCAGTCAGAAGAAAATGGAGGGTAATAGCAAAATAGCAGTCATATTGCTCTGAATGTGGCAAGCATTCATTACATAACACCTAGGAGGTGGATGGACAGCAATCTAAGGCAGACCAACAGATCAGATGAACAAAGGAAAAGCTACGAAGAGGAGCGACTAGGAGAGAGTGACTCTGTCTCCTCCAAGCAACAGGCACAGGCAGACCACACTCTCTGGATTTTCTCTTTAGAAGTAAATTATAACACTCAGAGGTGATGTACACCTGGAGCCATGGCATTCATATCTTAGTGCACCTCTGCTGGCCTCAACCACTGGCAGTACATGAAGGACCATCCTATGGAGGATTGTGCCACTTGGACCAGCAGTTATGCGTGCACCACTGGTAGTTCCAGCTGCCTGGCAGTGAGACATGTGAATTACAGCTCTGCTGTGAACACATTAACTGAAGACTTCATGGATGAATACATAGAAGTTCTAAAAGGAAACCTGAGATCACTTTACCCAGGCCACGTGTATCAGCCAAAGGCCAATGTCCTAGCAGGAAAGGATAATCAGGAAAATTATCAGAGTTCTATTTTTACTATCAAAGTTAATCGCTTTATTTAAAAACTGGTAAATCTTCATTTGATTTCAGCAGAGAGGCATTCACAGAATGTCTGCCATCTCCCTAAGTGTGCCCAGTAGAACACTCAGATGTAACTAGGTTCCCTTACACCTCAGCCCACATTTTCTTACAGTCACAACTCCCATCTATGGCCAAGTCTTAAATAAGACACAGATAAGCCCTGCACAAGGTGCTCATCTGAGATCCCTTAATCTTCTATGGACGGAAGCGTCCACAACTTGGCCTTCGAAATGGACTCAGTTTCACTTATTCGTGTTCTCTGTCACGTACCCACCGTAAACCTACACTGCCAACTCAACTGGCATTTCCAAGTGGCCACATTTATTTCTCTTTCATGTTCCACTGTGGTGATTATGTTACTGTTTCGACAGAATCTTAAAAAACAATTACCACAACAGATAAGGCACTGGGATGGTGGCTCAGTTTTGGTAGGAAAGTCAGTCCTGAGCGAACTTGATAGTCCCGGAATCCGCCCGCTACCGAAAGCGTGGTGAAATTTATGTGTCGGGCATTTAGAATCCAATAGTTGTTTACAGCCATATAAAAATCTATAAGAAAAAAGAGAAGCATTGAAAATAGTAGTCATTCTCTTCAACAATACCTAAAACACTAAATTTTAACTTCACTTTTCTTTAAGCTATCTGGTTATAAACAATGTGTTACTTACATTTGTCTATTTTGAGAAAAATTACCATCTTTTTATGTATTTCCACTTGCCCATTAAATAAGAGTACAAAAACTAAGTTACTAAAGAAATCAGTAAAGAAAAAAACCATCTCTATCTTACTGTCACATGCCCAGATGCAAACATGACTTTCCATTCCATAAGGATTTTTCCACAGCCACACAGTGTAACAAGGAAAGAAAATGCTAAAATTCTTTTAAACCCTCAGCACGCTAAAGAGCTACAGACATTGGTGTGTGGGATCCCTGATACAGAGTGTGTTCACCCTTTACCATTGGTAATGCTCCCACTTGCAAGAGGAAAAGAGAGACAGAGACAGAGACAGAGACAGAGACAGAGACAGACACAGACACAGACACAGAGAGAGAGAGAGTGTGTTGAGCAACTTTCCTGTGGCCAACCATCCCCATCAGCAGTTCTGTCTGAAAAGTTCTTATCATCTATCATCTATCTTGGTGCTGACTGCACCAAGGGGTTATTTTTGGGGTCACGTTGCTGTAGAATCTTGGGGTTAGGAGTCTGCTCACTAAAGGTAACAAGCAGTTCCGGGGAAGAAGGTGCAGGCTATGACTCACTTTGTCTACAGAAGGCAGGAACACTTTAGTGTCAAGGGTTACCAAGTCGAGGCCAGGGAAGAGGGGTTCTCACTGCTTTCTCTGCCATCAAAAGATAATGCCTTTTTATCCTGGCCTTTGTCCCCTTCTGGGGCTTCAAACATCTGGGCCAGGAAGCTCTCTGCATTACAGATCGCAGCAGTGTTTACTCAGGCTGCTACCAGGCTAAGCCTGAACATCTGGAGGCCCTGGCTACTCTAGTTCCATGACCACACATGCCCTATGTCTAAACACTGAAAAGTCAAAAATCCAGCAGACACACTGTTACTTAATACACTTCTATTACTACGCAGACAAATAACCTCGGGGGCCAGGCTCAGAGCAAGGATTTTCAGACACCTCTGAACTGGCCTGGGATTGTAGCAGCGCGAGAAAGCAGAGGTCTGGCGCAGCTGCTTCTCTCCCTTCCCACTGTGGCAAGGGCCTTGTGTGCAAGAGCACAGGCTGCCTGCCAGCTTGTGGGCCACAGCTGAGGCCCACAGCTTCCTGCCCCAGCAGAACAAGGCCAGGGAAAAAGGGCGCGGTGCCCTGCGAGAGAGCTTGGGCTCACAGCAAGAAACCTGCAGAGGCCGGGCTCCCGGCCTGTGGGGTGTAAAGTAAAGGCACAGCTGGGCCTGCACACCTCTTCCCAAGGAGCGTGAGACCTGAGGCAGTGCGGTCTGCACTTTACCCCCTAGCAGACTCCACCCCTGAAATCACACCATCTGTCTCTCAGAAACTGAAAACCCACCAGTTAGAATTGTTTCAATTCTAACTGAATGCAATTAAAAGTACAGCATAGAAAGAAGACAAGCGTATTAATTACAAAGCTTTCTGATCCCAAGAATCACTTTCAGCCTGAGCCTGTTAGAAAGAGACCACTGCTGTACTGCAGAACTCTCCAAGGGCTCTGCCACGAGTTCTCTCCCAGGGGGTCTTGCACCATCCCATCTATTCCGAATGGCTCACCGGTACATATATCAAACAGCAGTAACCTGTTCCCAACTGTATTGACAAGGACTGAAATTTTGGCCTTTGACCTTTTTTTCTTTTTTTTTTTTTGGTTTTGGGAGTCAGGGTCTTGCTGTGTAGCCCAGCACAGGCAATTCACAGCGGTCCTCCTGGCCCAACCTCCTGAGTGCTAGGATTACAAGGCTGCACCACCATGCCCAGCCCCTTTGATTTTTTTTTAACCTATTTTCATTTATGACTTATAAGCAGTAATAACAGCAAAATTAAAGCTTTGTTATTAAGATATTCCTCCAGGCAAAGTTTGTTAAAAAAAAAAAGTTAAGTTTGCCAATAAGTACACACCAAATATTTCCAGCAAATTTTTTTTGGCAATGTTATAGATGGGCATTTTACAAAAATTAATTTGGTTAGAATCACCTGGGTATATTTATTACTTAACTGAACAAGACTTTCTAAAATTAATGCAATGCAAATTTTAATAGGTAAGAGCTACATAAAGCCGGGTGTGGTCCCACATGCATGCAATCCCAGCACTCAGAGGCTGAAGCAGAAAGATCAAGCTCAAGGCCAGCTGGGGCTACACAGCTGGGGACCTGGTCTCAAATCCCCCCCCTCCAAAAAAAAAAACTATATAAATTTACCAGCAAGGACAAGGAAGAGAATTCTTTCTAAGGATTTCCTTCTATAATATTCCTATTAACAGTGAAGATAAGGACTTAACAAAAGTTGAGAGCACGGACATGTAATTCTTATTGTGTGATAACATCCCTGTGTGATACTGTCATGGACTCCTGCGGTTGGAGGAAAGACTTCTGCACCCCAGCACTATCCAGCAACAGTAACACCCTGTAACAGTAACGCACCTCAGTGAAGAGGCTGTATGTATACACACTGTACACAGGTTAGGAGCACAGGCCCAGCTCCAAGTGTCCAGGGTCTGAAACTGGCTGTACTTTCTGGCCACGAGACTTTTGGCAAGACTTTTATTAAACTGAGGCAATGGGACAGGCCTGTAATCCAAGCTGCTCAGAAGGCTGAGACAAGAGGATCACAAGAGGGGTGGGGATATAGCTCCGTGGCATTAGTGCCTGCCTGATCATGAGTTCAACCCCAGTACCAAAAAAAAAAAAAAAAAAAAAAAAAAAAAAAAAAGAAAAAGAGGATCAAAAGTATGAGGCCACTTTGGGCATCTTACTGAGGCCTTGTCTTAAAAAAGAGAAAAGAAAGTCTTTATCTTGACCTTTTTACTGAGGATCATAATGGTACCTGCCTCAGAAGATGGTAGCGTGGACAAAGCCTGCTAATGATCAGGTAACACAATACCCAAAGTACAGTGACGGTTCAATAAGGATTAGCAGCTCTAGCAATTTAAAAAAAAAAAAAGAAAGAAGCACTTGCCACTATTTTAGTGAAATATAAGCATATATTTAGTAGGGTACTGAACAGTTAACAAAGCACAGGAAGTGCATACACATCAGGAGAGAGAAGGAATCACCTAGCAGAGTAACCAAACTCAAGCCCTGGTTCCTATGACAACCATGTTCAGGGCACTGGGAAAGAGAAAACTGACAGTAGTTTTGATTATGAGCCTAAGCTGGAAGACATGAGACACGGTCACAGCTAGAGTCAGCCGTGCAACTGAGCAGCGTCACACGCGGGTGACGCCAGGCACGCTCTGCAGGAAAGCGCCAAGGACCGGCTCCTTCCTCCGTGCAGCACACTGGGTTCTCACCTGTAATGAAACGGTCCAGTGGCATCACAGGAGCCACATGAGGCGTGGCTTGTGTGACGAGGAGATTTATCAGCTCTTGTTTAAAGTTCTTCAGTGTAAGCAGTGCTCTTGCAACAAGGCCACCCATGGAATGACCAATTATTACCACACTTTTGGGAGCGAATTCTTGGCCCTGTTTAAAAATTCACCATGGCATAGTTAATCAGTATTGTAAAAAAAATACTAAATATTTTACTTTGCAAATGAGCAACTTAATAGGAAAGTTAAACTATTCCTATAACCTTCCATTGTAAGATACAGAAACATGTCTTCATAGTCTTAAATGACAAACTAAACCTTGGCTCAAAACACTATTTTGTATTCTACCATTTTCAACAGACTGGCTTTCTGAACAAAATCCAAATACTTGTTTAGAAATCATGTTTGTACCATTTGCCATGCTGCATGAAACCCAAGGGTTAGGTCTACATCAGAATATTAGATTTTACAAGACAGTAGGATCAGATTACTTTTATAAAACTGAAAACAAAAAATGATAGTTGTCATAGTAATACCTTGTCGTGCTAGACTCTCTTGTATCCCTGAATTATTAATGTACTCTGAGTTTGGGTTTAAAATGAACTAGCATTCTAAACACTTACTGGCTATAAAAATCTTAAATCAGTATTGCTTCTCAAAAATCCTTTGTTTCCACCACTATCCTCAGTCTCACCACCAGGGATCAGCACATCACCGCGGGCTGACCCTCCTTTTGCCTTCTGTTCCTTGTGTAGAAAAGAATGACCACAGTGGGGTCAGCCTGCTGCCCTCAGAACGGACTACACACTGGGGTCCGGAACTGAGACCCAGAGGGTCTACTCTTCCCTAAGCAGCCAGGGTGGCTCCCTGTACCGTCTGCACAAGTACCTCACAGGCCTCCAGGCTGGAACCGTGGGATGGGCTAGGCAAAGGTGGCTATGGGATTAGCGCCTGGTGAAAACCCTGGGGACTGAGTCTCCAGTGAGCCTCCCTGGGAGGCAGCACTTCAGACGCTATGACTAGCTGGCACAGACATTTATGTAAAGTGACTGCTCTGCGAGAGACTTCTGCAAGTTTATATCTGATTTCCTCCAGATTTCACCTAATGCACTGTTTCCCTTTGCTGGTTTTGCTCTGTATTCTTTTCCCACAATAAATCATAGCCATGGACACAATTATATGCTGAGCCTGGTGGTTCTTCCTAGTCAGTCATCAAATTTGCAGAGAGCCTTTGCATTCCCACACAGCTGGTGTGAGCGAAATCAGTTCACACTATGCTCGGAAACCTACCCTCTCCTGCCTTCGAAAGGACTGAACTGCAGCAATTCTTCCATTTTCTTTTTGCATTAGGGTTTTTCCTTCTCCACTGGATCACTCTCACTCATTTATAAAAATATTTATATACTGTGTTCTTCTTAAAAATAAAAGCAACTCTCAGGGCTGGGGGTTTAGCTCAGCGGCATAAGCGCCTGCCTTGCAAGCAGGCAGTCGTGAGTTCGATCCCCGGTACTGATAAAAACGAAAAAGACCAATAAGTAAATAAATGAATAAAAATAAAAGCAACTCTCTAACTCTCGCTTTCTCCTTGATGACATTTTTTCTCTACACATCTTCGCAGCAAAATTCTTCAGAAACCATCATCTGTGCAGTGTTTGCTGTCCCTGTGATCTCAACTTCCACACACCCTTTAAGCCATCCTCAGCAGGGCTCACCCGGTGCCACTAACGGGCGCCTGCCGAGGCCCGAGGAGTCTCCTGGTCCCTCTAACCTTCAGCCTGCGCGGCCTCGCAGCAGAGCCGTTCTCACGCTGAGACGCCTCCCGGTTTACCTGACAGCAGGCCCTCCTCTCCTCTGACCTCCCTGGGGCTCCTTTTCAGCTCTGCGGAGGGTTCCCTTCATGTCTCCTGGCCTCTTACAGTGGAGAGACCAGGCCTCGGTCCTTTGATGTCTTCCTGTCACTGTCACCGTGGCCTCGGCAGCACCACTTGCAGTCTCGTGGCTGTGAATTCACCTGCACACTGCCAGCTTCCGAGTATTATCTCCACACCGGCCTTCTCCTCACCTGCAGCCCTGAACTCTGAACACGCAGCAGCCATCCCCGCAAGGACTAACTGTGTCTCAAACGGAGCTGCTTTAAACTCTTCGCTATCCAAATGCTGCAGCCTTTCTCCCTTCGTTACAGAGCAATTCAGGCCAGCTGTTCAGCTAACAACCTCGGGGCCATCCTGAACTCTTCTCTTCCTCCACTCCGGTCTGCCAGCAAACCTCGTTGCTTCAGTCTTTAACATTAAACCAATCTGAGCACTCTGCACCACTTCAGCTCCACCGACTTGGTGAAAACCACCATTCCCTGCCTGAATTACCACCCTCCTGTTGTCTCTGCTTCCACTTTGTCTTTCAGTCCATTCTCCAAAGCAGCGAGAGGGACACTGTTCAACTGGAGTGTGCCACTCCTCCATGACAAGCCTCTAGAGGTTTTCTGTATCCCTCAAATAAAAGGCAACAATCCTTAAACTGCCCCATCTCCACAACGTGGCCATCGCCCCACCATGTACAGCAGCCCACTGGTCCAGGGATTCTAGTTTCCTTGTCCACGGGCTGGTTTTCTCCTACATTTAAAAGGTCCACTCCCTCAGGCCCTCGGTGTGTACTAAATCACCGGCTCCTCTAAAGCAGTCTTCCCCCAGGACCTTATTCATAATTGTAACCCTCCGCCTTTGACTACTGTCTCCTTTTCCTGCCTTGCTTTTCAAACTAGCAGTCCAACCACTGAAGATTATGTGTAGCTTTCTCACTTATTATGCTTGTTATCTGTCTTTCCCCTCCTCCGAATGAGCTCTCTGAGGTCTGGACTGCAGATTCACTCACCGCTGTACTGACTTAGACCCATGTAATGGGCAAGGCCTCTCCTCCAGCAGTGTCCTCCCTTCTCTCACACCAAATCCTATGTACTCAGGGGGATCCAGCTGTCCTCTCTCTCTTACTACACTTGCTTATAGGAGGAATTTTCCTTTCTAAAAAAAATCTCAATTTAAAAAGTTTACTGGTTTTAATATACAGTCACTAGGAAAAATACAAAAAATAGAAAAAAAAACTACCTAGTATATGACATTAAAAACTCACTGCTGTGAATACTTATGAAAATAAATCTCACTATGTGATCACATCTTAGCCAATAAATATCTTTTCCCATCTTTAAAAGGCTAGTTTTCTCTCATAATACTGATAATTATTCAGGCTGGGGAAGTTTGCTTCCAACACAACTTTGCTTAGTTGTTTTTTATTGTATTAAACCATCAATGAGTACTGAATATACTCAGGTGGTTTCTCTATATCTACAGAGATGATATCATGATGAATTATACTGATGGACATTTCAACAGTGAATCAAGCTGGCTACAGTGTTTGCACATCAAAATAAAGTTAAGCTGGCTAATAATGCCCAGATCTTCTATATCTGACCTCCTAATTACTTTATCAGCTGGAGACTGAAGTCTCCAACTCTGCAGAATTACCACTTCTTCGGATCTGTTAGCTTTTGCTTCATGCACTTGAAAGTTCTAATACTACACACTCAGAATTTTTTTTGGAAATGTCCCCTTCATCCCCGATAATATACTTTGTCCTGAGATCTGTTTAATATTAACTTAGCCATACCCATACCAGGTTTTATCTAATCTGTTTTGTGTTTTTCCTATTCATTTACTTGCAAACCTTTAGAACATTCACCTGTAAAGTGGCCTTTGCTTTTTAGACTTCAGACAAAAAGTTTAGCATATTGTTGAGTAGATGTTGCTTTTTAAACCATTCTGACAAAATTTAGCTGGAATGTTTAATTCATCTAGAAGTAGTCATTATTTATATATGTTTATCATTTTTCCATTTGTTTTCTATTTGTTATCTGTTCTTCTTTCCTCCCCTAGGATTTTTTTTTTTTTTACAATGCAATAAGAACACTTTAGTATGAAATTCTAACAAAAAAATCTGTCAACTACAGATACACTGTTTTACAACACACACCTGTAGAACTTACATCTTGCATAACCAAAACTTTATAATCAAATCTGCTACTCTCCTTTTCCCCTGCGCCAGGTCCCTAGCAAACTCCGCTATGCCTTGCTTCTGTAGGTCTACTTGGAATAACTCATCTAAGTGAGGACTGCAGTCTTTCACCATAAGCAGCTTGTTTTACTTAGCAGAATGTCCTTAAGATTCTCCTACACTGTAGGCCTCCTTCTTTTCAAAGACTGGGTAATATTCCTCTGAATTCTCACACCATATTTTCAATGTCCCTTTACCCATCAGCGGTCATTTAGACTGCTTCTACATCTTGGTTACTATAAATGGTGCTACAATAAACATAGGAGTGTTTAGATCACTGCAATGTTCTGATTTCAGTTCCTTTAGAGAACTATCAAGGGACGGGACGTCTAGATCACACGACAGTTCTGTTTTATTTTAAAGTTCTACAAATGTTCTGCTGGGCTGGGTACTGAGTTTACGGCCTCGCAGACGCTAGGCAAATACTCCACCTCTCAGTTCACCTCCAGGGCCTATTTTTAATTTTCTGTGGAATCTCCATGCAATTGTCCACAGCTGCCGCACCACTCTGCCCTGCAGAAGTACACCATACACTTGGAAATCCAAGAGTTCCGATTTCTCCACGTCCTCAGTAACATGTGTGTGTTACGCAGCCATGCGGATGTGTTTTTTGGCAGTAAGTCTCTGGATTTGGTTTTCTGAAGTTTCCTGGGGACTCAAGGAAGGATGCATGTTCGTGACAAAGTGCCACAGAGATGACATTATGTCACTTTCAGTGAGGCATGTCCAAGGGCTCCAAAGTGGCTGCATCTTCGCGCGGTGATGGACAGCTTAGCTAGGACCTGTGCCACCAGGTGAAGAGTAACTGTCATGTGTCTCCTCACACTGAAACATTCTTCTTTCCCCTTGAACTAAAAAGTACTCTAGAAATGAAACTTTGGGCCGTGAATATCGGGTTTCTCCTCACACTGCCACCCCTGGCGCTCAGCAGTGGATCTCGCCTGCAGCAGCCGCTGCGCTGTGCTCCTCGTGCTATTTCTATTTTCCTCTTCCCTTCTTTTGGCGACGAAACTCCAGTTTGTGCTCCTCTGACACCACAGTACCTTTATTTTC